ATTGAGGACGTACCGTCAACAGATTGGCCGCGGGAAGGGGGTGCTGATGCGGGTGGACGAGAGAGGGCAGGACGACAACGAGCAGGGGATGAACGAGAGGTGTTGAAGAGATGGGCTGGTGGTGGTGGTGCTGTTGATGATTGAGTGATTGTTGTAGTTGATTGTCTTGGACGAGTCTTTCGTGGAGTGAGTGAGTCCTGCGATGGTTGTAGTACGAGTGTTGGGTCTGGGTTATGAGTCTTCCTGGGTCTAGTATTAGTAGTAGTTCTCGGATATGATCTCGATGGGTTGTTGTTGTTGTTGTTGTTGCTAGTAGATTGAGCTGAGCCAGGTTTCTTATTATGGAGATCGGTGTTCTTGGTGGTTGGTAGTGGGAGTGATTCGGCTGAGGCAGATCCGAATAGGAAGTCATCGTCCCAATTCTCGCTGGGTTCTGTTGAGGAGGGTGGTTTGTCAGTTGATGTACATACATGGTGTTGATTGTTTTTTTCTTACGAGCTCTAGTGAGTTTGCCCTTTGCCCATTCAGATCGTTTGTGGTTCTTCCTGATCTCCAACTCTTCCTCCCCTTCATCCTCTTCGGCGAACTTGGTGAGGTTGAGCATCTTGCAGGGGGGCAGTTGAGCTGGTTGTTGTTGCTGTTGTTTGCCTGTTTGAGTGAGTGGCAGTTTATAAGGAAGAATGAATGTTGGATGCAGCAGCTGGGACGAGCGCAAAAAAAAAAAGTTAAAGAAGAGAGAGAGAGAGAAGACTGAACTGGCTGCACCCGACTTGGAAAAAGCTGTCGACCAACTTTACACAGCTGGCAACACACCCAGACTCATATCTCGAAGCCGAAAAATCACTGCGCCCCGCAGCACTTCCCAATCAACCATCCACATACTCCACCGGCGAGCGCCGAGCACCGGCCAACCTCTTGGATGGCTCACCCACCATCTCCCGAACCTACAACAACAGCCCTTGAATTGTCCAAAGCCGCCGAATGCTTGACTTGCGCAGCCGATCTACAGCTCTTCAAACACTCAGATCCCCATACATAACATCCAATCCTTGTTAGTCAGCTGGTCAAATTGCTTACTTATATAAATCTGAATGATTAAAATACAAACCCATCTGAAGAAAAAAGATTGTTGTCAATCAAGGGTTGGAGCCATGTTTGTCCCTGATCTGGTCACCTCTCCAAACCCATAATAATCTCACTACATAATCCGTGGCAATACATCATACCTTATTTTGATAGTCTGGAAGTTGTACGCATTGTCAAGTGAGCATTAGTATAGTTGAACATGGACCACTTGTCTGCAACTGGCTCCTCCTGGAAAGCTCAATCACAAATCTGTGCAGGTGGATGGTGGTAAGAAGTGGTTCAATTCTTGACACTAGGAAGAAGAAAAATTGTAACATTTTCAATCTTCCTTATTAGAATAGTAGATTTCAGATGTGTGTAATCAGCTGGAAGAGCTATGGAATGATGTGCACATATGCAGCAAGTTTCAGTGCAACTGGTAAAACAGTGAAGAGATGCATCAGGGGCAGTGGATATGCAGTGGAATGAGTTTAAGTTGGAAATGCACTAATGGAGCCTTTCAGTTCCAGTCATTTGTGTTCAAGCACTGGTTTTATTCTTAGGCTCACTATGCAGATCCTTGCTTATTGAGGGGGGAAGATGATGATGATGATAGGATTATTCAGAATAGCAGGGACCTCAATCTTGTTTCTGGATCCTGGGATCTGGAGTCCTGGCCTTCACAGGTGTCAGGTATATATGTCTCCATATTCAAACAAGGATGATGGCTGTTGGATTGCTCATCTCTGCCACTTACAATTCCAAGCCACAGATACAAAATCATGGGTTTCCGGCAGGATACCAATACATACATGTGCACTGCTGGCTAAGGTAAAGGCATGTAGGATCTGGATGCTCAATAAGACTGGTGTAGAAATTATTGACCCAAATTAATCTGCAGCTTCTGGAAACACAGTAGTTCACAGAATTCGTTTTTAACCTAAGACGTTGATGTGCAGCTTTTGAATATGCAATAAACCTTCAAGAGAAATGCGCAACCTGATCCAAAGGGGGGGGGGGTCAATGAAAATTTATGTCTACATACATAGATGGGTGTGGGAGGAGCACGCTTTGGGCCTTTGTAGCACTGGGTGTACGGCAGCCACTTTGGGCCAGGTACATACAAGCTCTGGAACTTCATGGGCAGACAGAAACTCCAAATCATGAGGTAGAACAAATCCCCACATTTCAATCACACACAATGGAGTCTCTGTTCCATTTTGAGGGAATGTTTCACTATTTCCTTTTGGATACCCGCACATTTTGGTTCTGGATCCCTGAGGAAAAAGGTGTTTAGTCAAGGTTAAAAGTGCCACATTGTCTTGCCATCACCTACTTGCGTCAGGGAGCGAGATGACCACTTTTTGTTTGGAGATTATAATTATCACTTCTTTGAGGTTTTGAAGAATAGAGCACGAGGACCGAGAAAGGAGAAACAGTTGATGAACACCATCATACACAAGTGGGTTCCAAGGAGATCGAGTATATACAATTAGACCGAAAATAAACCCAAGAATGCAATGGAGAATGTAACCAAGTTAGTATGTAATAGAGTGGAATAATAAATGTACTGGTGGGGGGGGGGAAGATCCGACAGGATTTGATGTAGAAATTACAGTCAAAAACGGAGTTTGAAGGCCTAATCAAGATGTGTGTCCTGGAGTCGGGTTAGAGGTTTAAGGTTCGCCGAGCAAGTTGCCGGATAGTCCATTTCTTCGGCCGATGCCGATGACCAAGACTATGAGCATGGCCACACCTAACAAGATCGAATCCGCCCACGCAAAACCTGCGAAATGCCAGATAAGAAAAAAGAGAGAGAAGGGTCAGCCGGAGTTCTGCTAAATCGGCAAGTTGATGAAAGAGAACAGTGCAGACCTTGAAGGATCTCGAGTCGTTGCTGGTGTGGGAAGATGTGTGCATTGATCTCGGTTTGGAGCGCAGCTGATCCGGAGACAAACAGGACGATGGTCACCCCGAGCCAGATCAAATGGGAGGCCACGCTGAAGAGTAGGTGGCCCGGTGCGGTGGCCAATCCGACCACATAGATTGTAGAGAACAGGATAGCTAAGAAAGAGAAACGGACATCACGCGTGAGTCTCGGTCAGGATCAAGCTGTATCATAACTCTGTCTTTAGACATTCTGACTCAACTCCATAGTCCACAGAACAGGAGGTACTTCGTCCTCGTTACTATCGACGTGAAAAGTTCGGCATCTTTCAAGTTCTGGGTGATTGACAGTGAACCCAATTGTTGGGATGGAGGAGAGCTTGTCAGTGATTTAGTCTGTGCTATGAGGGCAGGCACGGGGATTTGGGAGCAGAGCGGGAATTGCACGTACGTTGAAGTTGCCGACAAGGATCCCACTGGTGACGATCTCAGCGATGCAGCCGATGATGATGACTAAGGCGGATGGGGTACACAGGGGTAAAGTCAGCCACGGGGGATTTGAAAGCCATTAAAGGTTCGCGTCAAGGCACGAAATCGGGCTTACGGGAGAAGACCGCGACATGTGCAGCCCTGGCAAAAGTCATGATCGGAAGGGCGGTGCGAGTTGTAGTTATTTTTGGATCGAGTCGACTAGACGTTCAGTGCCGATGGAAATGAAAAAATTTGAGTAGACGGTGAGCTCAAGCCTGGATGAGGGGGATTGGGTGGAGGAATGGATAGATGGGAAGCTTTTTAACAAAAGAGGTGCAAGTGGGTTGGTGTATGGATGTATGCGCGACCGCTGAGTTGGGCTCAAAGGAAAATCGATTGCGACGGATATGGCCTTTTGTAATGGGGCCGATTAGCTCAAAAGAGGATGTTGTTGTTGTTGTTTTTTCGGTTTCAGATCAAGGTTTTAATAGATGACTAAATTAAGTAATCTCTTGAAACTTGTCTGAGCAGCCAATATTTTGCTTTTGTTCTTCGACTTTCGCCTGGAAACTCCATATTAGACCAGGATAACGTCATCATCCCACCTTTATCTGCCATCATTCTGGGCTCCTTTTGTCGAGTTCGATAATGAAATTAATCAACTGTTTCGGAGACAAAGATGTGCAAAGAAGGGGCTGTGCCAGCCGCTGTGGATGCTCGAAACCGTGGGTAACAGAGGGGCGGGGGTTGGGGCCGGTCCAGTGCACCGCGTTGAGCCTCGTGCGATCCCGACCCTCCCAGGCCAACTTGAAGCTCAAGAAGCGATGTTTCCAATGAGACGATGATCAGCGTCATCACTGCTTGCATGCCAACGATGAGCATGGCTCGTTCGGTCCGGAAGCTCATGGTCAACAACTTCAACCCGATCAGCATATTCAAAACGATACCAGCAATCGGGGATATGAACATGGTCCCCAGGGATTAGAGCGACTGGCAGAGTTAAGAAAGGGATGGATGTCAATGCTATCCGTTGTTTTCAATCTCATCCGGTCTATGGTTACCAATCCCACAACCCTATAGTACCATGAGTAGCATAACCTTTGTTTTCCTGAATCCCCTGTGAGGTGGATACATGGGTATATGTTGTATGAGCTGGCAAGGAAGTCAGAGCCTAACTTAACAAAGTCCCCCTGGTGGGAGGCTCGCTGGTGTGAAGCACTGGCTGGTGGCGAAGCCACCCCTCCCGCAGGGAGGGACTTACGACTAAAGTGCCCCTACTCACCAGAGGGGATCTGAGCAATTGACTGTATTACACAACCTGTAGCTCCCTCATTTGATAAGCTACACATGTCGTTCCAGCAAAGGAAAGATGCAGTTGCATCTCTTGTTGCTTTCTCTCTACTCAGTTTTGCAGAAAGTGTTGCCTACAAGAAAATCGAACTCAAAACTGTAAAACAAGAACATGGAAGACTTGAGCCGCAGGCAAGATAGAGGAATCTGAGTTCAATTCACAATTTATTTGAAATTCAATGGTTTGGTGGACATTGAAGCTTGTGAGCTCTAAAAATCAGCAGAGTCAGGTAGATCCTACCTTCCAGTAGCTGGGCCCGGCTGTGTTGAAACTACAGTCTGTAAAAATTGATTAATAGATTTTTCAATTTTTTGGTGGGTGGCCTTGGTTGAGTACCCCCACTTTAGGCATAAGTCCCTCCCTGCGGTCGGGCGGGGTTCAGTGCTTCACCACTGCACGCCCAACCGCAACTGGGTGGGACTTTGATAAGTTAGAGTCAGAGCATCCTTGCGGCAACAAAGCTCTAACTTTTCCACTCATACAATGGTTCCTATGTAGTAATGCAAATGATACGATAAGGCATGAATGAATCGTCCCGCATGATAATCCCGCGGAACCATGGCAACCAAAAAAAATGGGAAAAAAAATCTTCTGCAAGTGCATACTACTCATTTGGGCTTTTCCAACTTCGCCGCTGGGTCGGCGGGTGGGTGCACCTTGGATGAGATGAGTTCGGTACAAGGACCCACCTGCTGGGCTGGATTCCACCTTGGCAGACGGATTGTAACTTCTAGCTAAGGACACTTTCTCCCAAGACAGCATCCACAAGCGCCCGCTTTGTGGCTGCTCGTTTGGGAGGAAGCTTCCTTCTCCTTGGCCTTTACATGCTTGCCAAGGAAGATTCCTACTCGGGGAGCAGTTACAAGGTGTACCCATTCACCGAGCACTAGCAGGCTCCTTGGTGAGCAGGAATCTTAAAGAAATGGCCGGGGAGAGCTCCTCCCCAGTGAGTAGGCAATGGCCACAGAGGAGTCCACCTTGGCAATGGGTGATTCCCATGGAGTAGTTCTCCTCGGCAAACAGGTACAACCTGTACAAGATGATCCCAAAATTTCCAAGAGTTTGCATTTCATTTCAGATTATGGGTGCTTGGGTCAATCTTTACTCAAGACGACTATCATGCGGGACGTTTCGATTGCCGCCATAGTCAGCTTGGTGGTAAAGGTAAGAGCCAATCAGGATTTAATTCGGTCTTCAAATATGCTATATCTCCTATTGATTCGAGAATTTCTTTGAGATCCTATTCCTGAATCCAGCTATAAGAGGTTACTGTGCTCAAGTGACCAAGATAGATATACCATCCGCTTCCCAAAGGGGCAGATTGCCTAATCTTTTGGGTCCCTGAATTGGTTTGTTAGTACTGGGTCTACACACTTGCCGTGATTTATCCCCCTTTGTTAAAATGACTCTTAATGCAATTGTACCCCAGAGTCCACCTTGCATCGAGGGCACCGAAGTAGACCGAAGTACAACAGGCTGACCCGGCCGTCCCCGAAGCAGAGATAAGCTTCGCCCAAACATCAACTTCCCCAGCGGGGAGTTAAGTTTACATCAGCCCCACAGGCTCAAGAAAAAGGGCTTAATTCATTCAATTGGATTGTACCGCAGTTTCAGATAGCTTCCCCGATACCATCAGATCCCGACTACATGATTTAAACGAAGATCTCGAAGACCTGCACATCGAGATTCACGAAATTTCTCCGTGTTCTGAAGTGCCAGAAGTGCCGACTTGGACACAAGTTTTTTTTTTTCAATCAGTCCTGGCTGATTTGGCCCGGTGATTATTGTATGTATCCCGAGTGGATGTGAGTGTGTCGAAGAGCCACCCGGCCGGCGCTTGAGTTACGAGTACATATCCGAGCAATTGGTTTTTTTAGTAGTTGGACATGGATTCAAGCGCTTGACATACGAATGACGACGAGCGCTTCTTTCATGCACATATTGTGCCTTCAAGAGCGTGATCAAGATGACCGAAACGCGAATTTCCATCAGCTCAATCACAAACTACATATAGGCGGAAATTCAAATGAAAAAGTTCGGGAAGCTCCGAAACATGAGAGTGGGCGAGGGAGCAAGAGCCCGCCGTGATCACGCCAAGGTGAGGCCAAAGTACAGCAATATTGCGAATCATTTGGCATCCATGACGTGCGTTTATTTTAACAAAGAAAAAAAAAAAAAAAAAAAAATGGACCGAGATAGGGATAAAGAGGTTCCCTCAATGTGAGGCGGGGGCCCCCCTAAACCTTCCGCACGAGCTGTCGATGATACAAAGCAGATGACCATAAATCGTCTGCGCTGAAACCGAGTTTGTTCGGGTTTTTCGCGTCGCAGACTCTGCACAGTTCTTCGGCCAAACGTGTAGATCTTGACTGCCCAAGACATCACGTTTACGTCACGAGAGAGAGGGAGCGGATAAAAAGAATGCGAGAGGCTCTCTTTCGCAACGGATTTTTACTCATCTCGAGAGGGTGTCCATGAATAGCGATTGTCGAGTTGATTGCCCTCATTTTCTTCCTGACTTGACAGTGACTTCAGCGCCTTCAAGCGGACTGGGATAGCGCGATTTATAACCCTACACAAGCAAATTCAAGATGGCCCAGAAGTACGAGCACGCAGTCCCACAGCCCCTCGTCGCACCTCCTCTTCCTCTAAAGGATTTCGAGGTGATGTTCAATGATGAGGAGAACGGCGGATACTTGCCGGAGAAGGTCGGCCATCCTCCGCCCAAAGCCATGAAGCGCAAACTCAAGGAACGTCAATTGACGATGATGTCTATTGGAGGGACTATTGGAACTGGATTGTTCTTGGGCATGGGAAGCTCGTTGAATGATGGGGGCCCTATGGGGCTCTTGCTAGGATATCTTATCATGTGGGTTCATCAACAAAACATTACTGTGTATTTTTTTGGGGGGCAATGTGGCGAGTTGAGTTTCTGCATTTATTCCTCAGGGGCACGGTTGTGTGCAGCGTGCAGATGGCCTTGGTGAGTCTTGCCGATCAAAGGCTATCATCACTTATTAGGTTCCATCTAGCCCAACCTTAATGGTTGATCGATTCGAGAAAACAGGGAGAAATGATAACGTACATGCCATGCCATGGCGCATTAACCACGTTTCCCGCTCGGTTTGTGGATCCAGCGTTAGGATTCTCTGGTCAGTGAGATCTTACTGATTCATTTCCTAAGAAACCGAAAAAAGATATACAAAATGGACTGAGATTCGTAAATTTCTAGTGGGATGGAACTACTGGTAAATCTCACAGAATTCTCAGTCAGCGAGAAAAGAAGGCCTTGCCCGATTCACAAAAGATCCTTATAAACACTCACACATACATACTTGTCGTGATTTAGGTATTCGTTTGCGATTTGCGTGGCGGGAGAAGTGACTGCAGCCGCGATAGTGGTTGACTATTGGAAAGCGCCTGTGAGCCAAGGCGTATGGATCACGCTTGTGAGTTTTGCCTTGATATTACAACGATTCTCAAAGGTTTTCTACGCTAGCACCCTTCAGGTCAAGAAACCATTAATAATCGTATTTCCAATCAGTTTTTCGTCACAGCATGTGCCATCAACTTTTTTGGAGTCAAGTGCTACGGAGAGGTACGGTCCACTGAATTTTTTTTTTCATCCATCAAAACTGGAGCAACGGTTGAGATTTGTTACCTTGCACACCCAGTTCGAGTGTGTTTTTGGTACGTTTCCAGCCAGTCAAACACCCGTGTGCGCTTGTGTGACACTCCTCATTAATGAGAAGTTCCTTTTGCTAGCCGCAGTGAAGGTCTTTGCTATTACCGCTCTGGTCGTTCTAGGCCTGGTGTTGAATTTGGGTTAGTTTGACTTACCTTCTACCTCTTGTTGTTGGGCGGGATTTGGGTAACTCAAATTGTCCTTTCTTTTGGAATCATCAATACAAAGGAGGGGGGCCGACACATGAGTTTATTGGATTAAAGTGTGCTACTTCGTCATGTTTCTTCTACCCCTGAGTGTTCTATAAATTTTTCAGAGCAGTAAGCACCATGATCTGAAAAATCATGACCAAATTTTTTGTTCTTTATTGAAACCCAGGTACTGGAAAGATCCGGGTCTTTTTCGACAACTGAACGATATCCCAGGGGCATCTGGCCGTTTTTTAGCCTTCTGGTCTGTGGCTTCGAGCATTTATGGACCCATCAAAGTGCACAACAAGAGCGACTAACCATCCTGGAGATACGCAGGTCAGTCTTTATCCAGGCAGCCTACAGCTTTCTGGGCTCGGAAACGGTGGCGTTGGCGGCGGCAGAAACTGAGAACCCTAGGAAGACAGTCCCAAGAGCAATCAAGAGCGTCTTTTACCGGTAAACAATCAAAATCGGTCTCCTCCACATCCACAGTGAAACGATTCCTTGACTTCTTCTTCTGTGTTTTTCTTCTCTTGCATTGGGACTCTCCTATAGTCTCTTACTTTTCTACGTGGCCAGTGCCTTTGTCATCGGACTTGTCGTCCCATTCAACGATCCTCAACTCCTAGGCGGCACCGGCGATGCTTCGTCTTCGCCTTTCGTGATTGCTATCAATCGATCAAAGATCAAAATCTTGCCCGATCTCATCAATGCAGTTGTCCTGGTTTCGGCCTATTCGGCCACCAGCTCTGAAGTATGTAAGTATTAGCTCGGCCGACCATTTTTTTACTTGCGTAACACTTTGAATAAAAATTTATAGTGATCTGACCGTTCATAAATCTTGTCTCAGATTGTGGAAGCAGAGTCTTACACGGCCTTGTCATCGATAGGATGGCCCCTCAGATCTTTGGGAAAGTCAACTCCAGTGGAAACCCAATAAACGCTCTGATTGCCAGTGCCTTACCAGGCCTGTTAGCGTTCATGAACCTGTCCGAAAAGTCGGGCACGGTTTTTCTATGGCTGGTCAACATCTCGGCGATGGGTGGAATATTTACTTGGTGGAGCGTCTGTCTTGTGGGTTTCTTTTTCTTTTTTTTTTCTGTGAAATGCTTCAGGATAATGGTTAGATGAGTTTAACTTCCTGAAGAGATCGTGAGTTTTCAATCAAGACCTACATCAGGTTCCATAAGGGTTTGAAAGCCCGAGGGGTGGATCGAGACAGGCTTGATTACAAGGCCCCGTTCCAGCCCTATCTGTCATACTATGGAGTCGTGATGCTTGCTGCGATCATTCTCATGAGCGGCTTCAAGGTGTTTCTGAATGGACAATGGCAAGCCCCAGTTCAACCTATTCATTCAAACCTTCAATCTGCGCGACGCTCATCTCATTTCTTTTCCAGGTCTTGGGGCTCTTTCATCGGAGCATACATCACGCTGCCGATATTCGGCTTGACCTATCTTTTCTGGTAAGCGTCTTCGTCCTACCTGTGTCTGCCTACGCAAGCAAAAACATTTGGCTAACTAGTGCAAATATGGGTGATCACACAAACATTGATCATAGGAAAATTTATCATAAGACTAAGCTCGTTACAATTGACCAAATGGACTTCTCGGTTCCTGATGAAAAGTAGTGATAAGTTGTGGGAGGTGCACAACATGATTGTTTTTCCTTCAAAATTGGCATGCATATACATAGTAATCATTTTACATAGGAGTTCAAGATCTACCTCATCTCATAGAGTGAGACAACGCTCCCCTTAATCATAACATTTGATCAGTCCTCCACCTCATGGGCGTGTGTTTGTCGATCACTACATAGGATGTTTTTTTTCTTTGTCATTTTCAATCTTTCTAAAAAAATTGTAAAAACAGTGTCTGATCTGAGTACGAAAAACAAAACAAAAAAATCTTCAAGCTTACCGACAGCAGAAATGATACTCACATGGTAGGCTCCTAGCAACCACATTGTTAAAAAATGATGTGGTTATGTCCACCAGATACTCAGTTGTATGCCTCCCCCCTAAGAAGGTTCAAGATTTTCAGATTCAGCTGCATAATGTTCAAGTCCGAAGTCCACAGCCTCCAGCGCAGTCTCACAAAAAGAGAGACAAAGATGGGGTAGATGCACAGACATGACCAAATGAGGGTGTATTTTACATGCCATTTGGTGAGCATGAGAGATTGAGATATGATCACTAGAGGCACTTGAAGTAAATACACAGACGTCTCTCTGATCATCTCTCCCTATCTCGTCTTCATGAAAAAAACGAGCCAATACGGATCAATCGATGAGAAAAAAAAAATGAAGAGAAAACAAACATGATGTTTCGTATTGGGGGACATTTTGAAGTTCAATATATGTCAATCTAGGAAATAGCCTGAGTAGGGATGATTATTTTTTTTTGCTTGGTTTAATTTGTAAGGTCGTATAAGATAGACGGAAGATTGTGCAAAGATAGAGAAAGAAAATAGTGAGGTATCAAGTTCCTTGACCCAGATGAAGGAATCAAGGGCTACTATAAGAGCAGGAGAGGCAGATGCGACCAGAGGATTGATCATTGAGCTTTCTCTTTGTTAAGCTTAGCAAGTTTTTGTTTCTTGCGATATTCGTGGTAACCCTTGTCGGTTCCGAAGAGGTGATCCATCCACCTGAAGCTAGTCGAATAACATCCGACAAACTTTTCGTGATGGTAGTCGTGATGATCGGCCCCAGACCAGAAGGGCAAGATGTTTCGTAATGACCAGGGGAAGTCGTAGCCCGAATGAGCATCCACAGCCTCTGAAAAACGTTTTTCGATACAAGACAAGATTCATCAATCTTGTGAAGCACAAGTAGTTCTAGTCGAGGAGGGATCTGGAGATCATAGGATGGTGGAATCAAGAGAGCTTACGGAACAACCGAAGGACGATCCAGATGTACATCGTCAAGATGTGCAAGTTTCCTTTCGAGAGCACACACCAGAGTAACGGCCCTCCGATCGTCCCGGTGCCGAGGATCAGGATCTCGAGGGGGTGTGCATATTCAGCAGCCAGGCCGAATGGGGCGGAGAATTCGTGGTGGAGCTTGTGGATCTTCTTGTACAGCTGTCCTTGATGTAATGCTCGATGGGCCCAATAATGGAAGAAACTGAATTGAGTGGATTAAGGGGGGAAAATGATTAGAGAGTATAAAAGATGATCGAAAACGGTTGCAAAGATAGAAATCGGCTCAACTCTTCGAAGACAAAGAATAAGGCGATCTGATAGGCCATCGTGGAGATCGATGGGAAAGGGACGGAGTGAGTGGCCATACCGAAGTACTCAGCCAAAGGATGGAACCCCCAGATCTGAGAGCAAAACAATTGTCAGCGAAAGATTTTCGGGTTTTTTTTTTTAAACGGTGAGGTTAGAAGAGATCTGGGATACCTGTCCGATTTCGACGGTGAAATGAGTCCAGAGAACGTATTTGGTACATTTCCATTGGTCCTCTCGACTGGGTATCTTGTTAGGCTGTAGCTTGTATTTGTCGAATGCTCTGATTTTGCCGACGATGATCCAAGGAATACAACGACCAAAGTAGAATAACTATTGGAGAATGATAAACAAATTCAGAGGCGTTTTTTTTTTCTCTTAGGAAAATGAAAAAAGTGTTGTGCTAACCTCATGGACCAGGAAGCTCATGATGCCGGTTGCGATGACTGGGTTTGGGAAGTAGAGGTACCATCTCAACCAGAGCTGTTCGAAGATCGATAGGGATGAGAGGTCTGAGCCCGAGTAGAGATGGTTCTGTTCGATCTTGTTCTGGGTCTTGAATTCTTCCCAGGACTGTATGGATGGCAGTAGTGATGAGGTGTGGTTGAGAATCTGATGGAATTGAGTGGCCATCCTGTTTAAGAGTAGATGCTTTCTCGGTCTCAAGTTCTCGGTCGACGGTCAACAGGGTCTTTGTTTTTTATATGTATGTAGAACAGGGATCTGTGACAGGCGGGTGACAGTCCACCACTCCCCGATCCAAAGACAGAGAGTGGAGTTTGACTGCGACGATCGAAAGAGGGAGAATCGTCGGAACGAACACGAATGTCAATGGATCCATACCAGCTGACAACCCGGAGAGGAGTCGCAAAATCAAGAACACGAGGAACACGAGGCTACGAGCACGAGCGCAGATAAATATTCACAGCATCATGGCAGTCTATCGTGCCTACTTAGATCTCATCGGCTTGGTTCATCGACCGGAGACACGGATCGACAAGATCGACGACTTCCTCATCGGCCGGACGAACGCGCTGCCCTCAGCGGCCTCTGGAGAGAACGACGAAGACCCAGAGGAAGAGGAGGAGGAGATCAAAGTCCTCGACCAGCTCATCGACCAGCTCATCAACTTCCCATCCAACGGCCATGGCGTACTCGAAGGATTGCTTCCCAACCGCCCCTACAGCCTACTCACCCTCTTCGCCCTCCTCGGTGATCGTCGGCTGATCTATATTCTCTGCTCACTCGGCGTCAGTGTCACCGACTTCAACTGGACTCGGTACTTCAGCGCGCTCTCTGAGGAAGTTAAGTTGATCCTCAGCTCGATCAGATCCATGCAGAGAGTCAGGAGACCACTGCGAATCCGTTTGAGTCAAAGTCTATCTCTCATCCTCCTGACTCTCTAAAACTAACCTTTTCTTTTTTATATTTGTGGTGGATTGTGTACCAGCCCGTGATATCCAGCAGAGGATACGAGAAGCCAAAGAGAGAAGAGAAGGTGAGGAGAGACAGAATGCTCAGGCGGCCAAACGACCCCGGACAGACTCGCTTGAAGCAGACACGAGCCATCAGACCAGGCCCCGCTCTGGCGAATGGATCGGAGGATACTTTGTCGAAGATTATGAGGAAAAGGAGGAAGATCGAGCCAGACCATCACCCTTACCGACAACAATCCAGCAAACGGGCACAAGACTGACAGAGAATCGCCGGCAAGACAAACGAGCGAGACTGGCCAGTCTACATGTGCTTCCAGCTATGCGAGTCACAACTACACCCTCCCCACCACCACCACCCTCCCCACCAATCCCTCTCTCCACTGCAACTCAGCTCCTTCCTCCTGAAACCCAAAACACTCCCTTCATCTCTGTTTTGGTCTCAAATTTACCCATCGGGGCTAGCCCACAAAGTATTTTATTTTTCTTCCAGCATGGTGCAGACATTTTCAAGGTATTGCATTCTTTATTGATTTATGAAACTTTTTTTTTTTGAATCTCTGTTTACTAACTTCATTTTGGATCCTTTGCATTGCTATTTGAATTGGGCGGAAAAAAGGCCGCAAGGACGCAAAACCAACGGATAGATGCGCTAGGCCGAAACCTGCACAAGTTCAAACCAAACACGATCCAAGCGTACCAACAGAAGCCGAATGGAGGAAAGGGGGGAGAGGGACAGCGAGGATACGAAGTGCGAGGGGAGGACTTGAAGATGGTGGAAGAGCCGACCGATCGCCAGGCAGAGACTCGCTCAGTCATTGTCCGCTTTGCCCGTCCATCTGGCGACAATCAACAAGCCCCTTGGGAAATTTTCATTCAAGAATTCCACAACAAGAAGTTCTTCCGGTTTGACTCTCTCTGTCTCCCTCTCTCTTGCCGCCTCTTGTCTTCTTAACCAGTGTTTCTCTTGTGTTTTTTTTTTTTTTTTTTTTTTTTAAATCTTTGTAATATGCCTACTGTTGGAATTTTGTCTCTTTTCCTTTACTCTCTTCTAATTTTCTTACTTCTGCCTCTTATCTTGAAAGATCAATAGGATCAGTTTAGAATGATCAATAGGATCACCACTATGATATCTCCTCCTTTTTAATCTGACTTGTCACCCTGTTATGAATTCAAACCCCCTAGCTTGTAGTCTTAGAACCCTGACTAAGGAGGGCCTAATTTCTCTTATGTGTGTCTGCTTATCTACTAGGTTGTATATGGTTTGTTTCTGGTGTTGGTTGTTGTACCCTCTTCTTTAGTCTAGATTATTCCTTTGGTTTCTATTCATTTCTTATTATTCATTTTTATTCACAACCACAGTTCTAACTCCTGTATCTAGTCTATTTAACCATGCCTAGAACAAGAAATTAAAAATCATTGGTTCTCCTCATAACCTGAGTCTGACCACTTTTTTGCCCTTCAGAAAGTGACACCTGAGTCCGTTCAAATCTTCTCTCCCTCTCTCTGCTTAGAATTTTCACACCTACCAATCCCTTTTTATTTTGAATAGTATTCTTCCCGTACCTTGTATACTTCCCGTGCATCCTACACAGAAGAAAGCAGAGGGAGAGGAGGAGGAGGGGGGGGGGGGGGGGAATGGGTCAAACAGCTTGAAACATAAAATCCGAGACTTTTTTAACCAAGAAAGAAGGAACTGAACTTTGAGGACGGAGAGGTCGACATCGACTACCTGAAGCTTTTCATCGGGCTCGTCAAATTTGACCACGTGACCTTTCAAGGGCAAACTGATTGACGATCGACCTAGGAAGCCGTCTTCTTTCTTTCCTCCACAACTACATACATAAACAGAGCAAAAAAAAAGGGGTGAAAATCATAGGATTAGGATTCAACCGTGTCAAGAACAGGTTAGAGAAGTATGGAAGAGTTTGAGCGGCCGACTAAACTTGACAAACACCACACAAGCCTCGGCTTCGAGCGCTCTGCTGCTCACTAACCCGTCGATCAGATTCGATTCGTGGATCCCGCTCGGGTCGTGTTTGATCATCTTGGACTCCGGTTGGTCGAGGGTCCAATAGCTCGGAATGATGATCAGGTCGACCTCCTGTTTCATCAACTTTTATACACCCGCCATCAATCAGTCCTTCCAACGTATCCGTCTCTATTAACTTGCAAAGTACATACATCTCTAAACGCTTCCGGCCACGCTAAATCCCAACCTGTGTCGTCGGATATAATCTTACCAAATCAAACAAGAATTCTTTCTTTGGAAGGAGAAGCGCCACTTACAGACTAGGATCCCGATCTTCAATCCGTTGAGTGCTTCGAATACCTGGTGCGGGTTAGGACACGGTGTGAGATACTGTTGGACAGATCAAACACCAGGATGAGAATTGTTCTTCGTTCGCGTGAACGAAGAGACAGATGATATAGGGTCATGTCACCTTCTCTCTATGAGGTATGGCCAAATCAAGACCCAACACCGGCCGTGGGTCCCAGAGACGAGAGACGTATGTTAGGATTGGATTCTCAGTTTCGAGCGAGCATGTAGGAGAATGTTAATTCAGAACTAACGCGTGCCTGGTCCGCAAAATAAAAGCCTGGGCATCAGTGAAACAGTACCAAAAGAAATGGCCAGAGTGCTGGAAATCATCAGGACCACCCACCACAAGTTTTTCTTGCGATATTTGCCGAGGATCTGGCCTGATTTATCGATGTAATAAGCCCTGCAGTAAGCCGGCCGTAACAAGAACAGGAATTTCAAGACCAGTATGTATTGCCTAGGTGGAAGGGTCCAGGGATGGACACGCGTACGAGTTGAACAAGTTTACACGCCGATCGTCCGGGCTCTTCGTAGGATCCGCCCCCTCTTTCTTCTCGGCTGCTCCTTCTTCCTCTTCTTCGACAATCGTTCCTGGGATGATGTCGATCTGATGCTCGATCGCTAGCCGCTGAAACTCCTTGATCCATTTCGATTCTTTCGAGGCTAGATGTAAATGGTTCTCGATTAGACCGGTGATAAAATACCTGTTTATATGATTACAGAAATGCATCAGTCACAGAAGTATCATGTAACTCTTCACTTTTAAATATTTCTTCATCCTTTCAATGATGAATATGCCAATGATTGGTGAATGAATTCGAATGAAATGAGACTCTTAACTCAGGGAAGATGATCAAATCGGCGGTGTTCTGAGCCGCCCGAGCGATGAATCCCTTAGCCTTGCTTAAGTTCTTGATCTCATGTTCGGCGAATTGGAGGTTATCGGATGTTTGATTTGTTGTTGTTGTTGCTGTTGTGCTTGGTTGATGGGAGTCGAATTGGCAGATTGCTATCCTTATCTTGGTGGGCATGATCGAGGATGCTGATGATGTCAGTGTTCTCTGCCTGGGCTGCATCAATCCACGAACCTTCTTCCTCAACAGCAACAGACTCATTATTTCTGAGTTTGACTTGAAAAAGGTAATTCTCTTGGACAAGAGATCATGACCTAATACCAAACTGCTCACCACATTTGATCAACATTACCCAGAACTGAGATCAACTATCATTATTATTCAACAAGAAAAAAAAAACTGCAGAAGAAAGACTTCATTCAAAAGTACTTCAGTATAGTATTTGTCTTGATCAGGTTGCAGAGCATGTAAAGGCTGGACTCAGGAGTTCATCATCAAACCCCAAGTAATTTTGATGGAGAGAAGCTTACTTGATAAAACTCAAAGCTTTTCTCTCCTTGAGGACTAGTAAAGCATGAGGTTCCAAGCAAACAACCACCATTCATACATACATTCTTCTTTTTTACTTAAAAAAAAATCTTTTTTACTTAAAAAAAGATTCTTTTTTACTTAAAAAAAGAAGGAAAGAAAAATTGACTTGAAATTTTGTTTGTGATGTGATATCATATTTTCACCAAATTGAGAGAAAAACAAAAAATTCTTGGAGACTTTTCTCTTCTCAACAAAAGAAAGAAAGACAGGAGGACTTGCCCTCAAACTGGTCAACTTCAATAAGATTTGGGACCCCCTTCTGAATCAAGCAATTTATGTGATACTGATGGTATTAATTCCTCCACTAGAGATCATGAAGAATGAAATATTGAAATCATTGATTTAGAATTCCTCAGCAAGGAGAAAGAAGAAACAAGTCCAATATCTGAAAATCTACACACACATTTTCATGTTGAGAAAACTCACAATGTAGTCTGCTCTTTTGAATTTGGATAAGACTTGCTTGCTGATGCACAAATTTCTTAGTTAACTATCTTACTTGGTTATGGCACCATCTATCATGAGAAATCAGGGACATATGCTGAAAACTTTGGGACTTCCTGACTCAATCAGCAAGAGTCAGATTTTAATAGGGCTTTCAACTCTTGTATTTATATCAAATCCTGCTTACATTATAATCATCTCATCTAATGGGAAGTAAGATATTCCAAAAAGACAGTTATGATAAATAGCATGCCAATCTTCAGATAGGTTGTATCTATCTACAATAGTGTTTATTGATACTGAAAAAGAAGTTCCACCCCAACCTACTCTCCTACATCCCATACTCCAAGTTTGGAGCTTGTGCTCATGATCAACTGAGGTTTTTTGATTTGATGTTAGATCATGGATGAGTGTAGCTCATGATCTAAATGTGGAAAGAGGTATATGGCATTTTCATGCTTTCAGAATGTTGATCAAAAACATCAAACATTACTCTTGGGCTCCGTTTGGCAGTCCATTATATCATAAGTAAAAATATGTAAATCCGGATAATCAGAATATGGTAGATAAACCTTAAACCAATTATCACAAAGCTAGACAATCCACTGCTTATTAGAGTGGATTTTTGGTGTTATAGTGTGACCAGCCAAACACTATTTTCACTTATGATAATAAATGCGGTCCCCCGAAACAATTTGCAGGATTTTCCTATGATATTTTATGATATCATGGACTGCCAAACGGAGCCTTGATTCTTTGCTTGATTCATTTTTTCAGAAAAGCTTGAACATATTTCCAAGTTGATTTTCTAGTATCTAGTCTGAATCTTCAAAGAAATGCCTCCAGCCTCTTCCCTTTTGGGAAGCACTGATAGATTGAGGTCAATAGAAATAGTGGTAGATGGAACAGCATTTTTTTATTTTTGACACAAGAGGTTTGGTGAGTGATGTAAGGATATTCAAAAACTGTCCAAGATATATGGGAAAATCCAACCAATCTTTAGCTATAAGAACTTCTTATGGCCCTTTTTCCCTGTGCTATGAGCCTTCTTGCCCTGTCATGTTGCTACCTCGAAAAGTATATTATGTTTTCTTATATGTATGTGTGCAATATTGCTTCAACAGCTTCGATCAATCAGTTGTTCAGTTAATGAAGTGGCCGTCAAAACAAACCCCAGTGAGAGTTGAGACGGGTACAGTCAGCTTACATAATCATTGGGTGGGCACCCCTTCCCTCGCCCAGGAACCTTCACAGCACTTTTCGACTTCACAGAGCCAACGACCAAGACAAGACAAGCACACCATCGGAAAACTGCAAACAGGTCAACAAGAACAAGAACAAAACGGAACACACAGAACAAACAGTCAAGAAGAAGAACAACAATGTCTTGGAAGGTCAGTCCTTCCTACTAGCTTATTGATAGAAACTAGAACCGATCGGACTTGCAAATTTCCCTTCAACAGACCATCCAATCCACCTTGGGTAACCTCGGCCAAAACGTACAACAAGGAGTCGCCGGATTGAACATCACCCAACAAACCGGAAAACTCACCAAAAGCTTCGCCGTCAGTCAGGTTTCTTGTTTGGTTCCTCAACATTATGGGCTTCTATAAGCTGGCCATGTTGATTCTGTGTGCCCCTTTCCCCATCTCGACTCTGTATGCGTCTCTCTCTAGGAATTTAGCCAAACTGCGCGTGAACGTCTTGGTACTTTGGATCAAGATGATGTAACAGGTAAAAGCTCCTTCCACGACGATCATCCTTATCGGACCTTTAAATCGAAACTTCGATTCATCATTTTCTCATAACCTCTATTATTCTGTTTTTTTTATCGATCAAACAGAGCTCCCAGAGGAATACAAAGACTTGGAACGCCGAGTGGATGCACTACGCAACACCCACTCCTCACTGCTTCGGGTCGCGAAGGTCTACGGTCAGTCGAGACTCTTCAACCTCCTTGCGTTGCCTCATGATCCTCAGAATGCTTTGTTTGTTCATTACAGAAAGCGAGCCCTATGATTATCCGACTCAAATCAATGAATCGTTAACCGAAACCGCCACCAATATTTCTCACACCCTCACTAGTTGGGCTGCTGCCGCGACCAAAGGTAACATACCCCCTTTCCCAGTCGCGCCTCTATCCCCTCTCTCTTCCTCTCTTATTTTGATTACTTTGTTTCGTAATTCATGTTGCCTGACGGAATCATCGGAAACAACCCCCCCCCCCCCTTCCCTACAAACTGATCATTAGGTACTAACTTGCCGCCGATCGAAGGACCCGACAAAGCCCCAACCGAGCACAAAACCTTATCACACGCGCTCTCCCGAGCGGCGACCTCAGGGGCACTCGAACTAGGCTCGACGGGCCCATCTAATGCTGCGGATGCCTCGAACGGAAGTATCACGAGTCTGATGGCCAAGGTCCTTAAATCTTATGCGATGGTCCAAGCTCGGATCGGCGACGAACGTTTGGCTCAGGATGGGGCCATCCAAACTGGCTTCTTACAGCCCTGGCAAACGAGCCTCAACCTCGGCCTTCAAGCGGCCATGAAGAGTCGTCAGAACGTCCGAAGTGCTAGGTATGTCATACTATCAAACAAATTAACAAAAAAGATTGATATATATATTATTTTCTTAGGGATGATTCACGTTCTTTTAATGAGCAGGTACACTGATGCTATTGTCTCGTCTTGTTTTTATTCATCAGATTGGCACTCGACGCGGCCAGACTAGCCCAAAAGAATTCCCCCGAGGGGCCTAAGAAAGAGCAGGCACGTATAGAAGTTGACAATGCGGAAGAGAAGCTAGTAGCAGCTACGGAAGAAGCAATCGAGTTGATGAAGCGAGTCTTAGACGACGTGAGTACCGTCTGAAAAACCAATTGTGGCAACCACAGCTCAATCCACTGACCCAATCGATCGACATTCTAGCCCGAACCTATTAGGGCTATTGCTCAACTCATCAAAGCTCAACAAGCCTATCATTTAGCGGCCAGTGATGCTCTTCAAGGTTTGATAGGCGAGGTCGAAGATGCGGCTGTGACGGCAGAAGCTGAGTTCAGGTAGGTTCAAATCAGATCCCCCCCTGATTCATTTGCTTTCTAGACTCCTTAAGCCTCCCTAATCAGCCAATCATAACCTACTCCTTCCTTAACCACTTGTGCTGACAAATACCGGCGTCTGCTGTTTTGTTGCTTTTTTTTTCTTGTCCCAAAAAAAAAAAATTGAATTGAAATAAAGAAAATCAAGGGCTTAAAAGAAGTGAAAAAGGAAGAAATGTATGAGGGAATCAATCAATGATCCTCCCCTGATTTCTTCCCAGGGGCTTCAATCTCTATCTTAACTTTTCTTTTTTCTGTTTGTTTTTTATATCTCAACACAACACAGTTTTTTTTTTTTTTGCAAATCCCTCCCAGAAAAAAAAAGAAAAAAGAAAAGAAAATTGTATTTTATTTTTCCTCATTTCTCCTTTTTATTTTATTTTTGTATGGATCATGATGGCATATGACCAAAGAAAATCTTACAACTTAAAACATAAAACAGATATATACATATATGTTTATATGAATGCATAATTTAGTTTAGGCTGGCTTTTGAATTCATTTATGGCTGCTTGTGCTCTTACATCTCATGTTTTCTCTTCTTATGAATGAAGGGATTGAAATTGTATTCACTTCTTTACTTTCCCAATCCCTTCCTTCTTAATTATAATGTGTTAGTCCCCAACATGATCAAGGGAGGAGAAACAGTGAGGAGAAGGTTTCTGTCTGACAGTGTAAGCCAACACAGCTTTTTTGTTTGCTTTCCATGCAATCAACTCCTCAAAGATGATTCTGAGGCCTATATGATCTATTGATTTCCTAACAAAATAGAACAGAAACCTTAGGAGGAAGCTTGCTGTAGGCTATGTATAAAAGGGGACAAATCTTGGCCATTTGACAGTATTGAACAATTTGGGGGTGTCTGCCTGCAAATCAGTGACAGACTGGTGGATCTGTCCATCTCATTCCACACCCTCATCAGTCATGCACACTGTTCAAGTTTTCTGGACAGAGTTGGTTTAACCAGTCACTTCTGGCAGTGGTGGATTCATGATGCGTGTGTGTAGGCACTGTTGATCTCAGCCTTGATGATGTAGAGGCTTCACAGATTGATGAAACCTGACCGTTTTTGAATAGGTCTGCAAAATATGCCCTGAGGAGATGCACATTAGCTGCTAGCTTTGATTAGTCCCCAGTCTTCAAAAGTACAGTGAGTGAAAGCTACAGACTCAAATAGGATTGATTACCTTTGATTAACCAAGCCCAAATGATTACTGCACTAACCTATTCCTTCTTTTATGTAGTAGTGAGTATTTCATTTTCTGCATCATCAGGAGGTAGTCACTATTGATGTTGTTTGTGAATGCTCATGTTCATTATCAAAGAAATCCCCCACACACTAGCTCTACACCAGTGTCCAGTGAGTCTGGGGTAACCCAGTAACTGGGTTACAACAACTATAGAGTCTCTATAGTGACTAGCTATGTGCACTTTGCACCTGGTTACTAGAGATGGTCTTGGGCTACCTGGCACCCGCCGGCGGGTACCCCCTATCCCTGATGTTTCCTGCTAAGTGGTGCCAGGTGTGGTACTTGGTGCCGGATTTTGGCTAAGAAAGCACCTGGTACCCGGGTCTCACGGGGCCATCTCTACTGGTTACCTATGGCAGGTGTTTGCACTCAAGTTTCACACCCACACCTGAACCTGGCACTTTCTGGAAGGTACCTCTCCATCCTGCAGGTACTTACTGGCAGGTTTTAGGTACCCACTAACAGTTACAAACAGCTGCTCAGTGGCTTTTTCAACCATGATTTATGACCAGGTACCTGTGGTGGGTGCTGGTACCTGCCATGAATTCCACAAGATTTGGAAACCCTGCTGGTGGGTACCTGTGGAGCACTGACAGGTCATCCTCAAGGGACACTAGGTAATTTCAAAAGGGTACCTACTACAAGTTATAAGATAGAGACTACCACTCACATTTGAAAAATTTCTCAATCTTGGAACACTTGGAAAGACATGATCAAAGATTTGGTGAGGATGATGAAAATTTGGTTTGATAATTACTAAACATAGAACTTTTTTTTTTAATTAAGAGTATGTGACAAAATATTCTCTATTCTCATCAAATATGGATATTGATTGCTTATGATAGAAGTTTAAGCCAAAGCTCATGAGAAAAAGAGGAAAGATGAAAGGAGTGAAAAAAAAACAATGAAATCAACCAAAAAAGGAACATACACATCACTCTGTTGATCTATGTGAATTGCTATGGATCTCAATCTACAAAACTAATTTTTTGGGTTTTGATTGTTGCTGATGGTGAATTCATGAAAGTGCCAAGAGAAAGTAGGGTCAAAGTGATTGGCTGATTGTTAATGAAGACTTGTTTCATCAAATGATCAATCCCCAGATGTTTATTTTAATAAACCTTTTTCCAATCTGATGCAGTGAGCTGGCTTACAGAATATTGATGAAATTGTATAATGGATTAACTAGTCATCTGCTTGAGACAGCAATTGAATAATTAGATCAATTCCTTCCTTCTGGGTGGTTTTTTCATGAAGCTCGCCTTTCCAGGGGATTAGATTCATTGATCTAAGGAGGGTTTTGTATTCAGATGATTCATCAGATTTCCTCAAGTAAATTGCATTGATTATTCTGGAAAACATTGTTAGGAATTTGTGATCCTCCTGATAAACTTCTTTCCATTTTCCTGGATTGGAAAGCTTTAAATATGAACCTATCAGATAGAGTGCAGCTTCACTCATCTTGCAATCTTTTTCTGAAATCTTAACATGTTCTATTGGAGAATTGGGATTTGGAAAGAACTTGGGAGATATATAGACTGTATATTTCTTACTTGAAATGATAGATCTTATAACCAAATTCTTGTTCAGTTTCTCTGGATTTTCCACCGGAATCGAATTGGTCCTTCCTTCCTGATTATTTAGTATCCAATAGTTGTTCCTTTCAAATACATTCAAAAGATATTCTTGGACTGCCTTTTGTTCAAGTAAATAATCCTGTTTGGATTCAAATCCATAAAATACCAAGAGTCTTGAATTGAATTGCCAAATTAGATTTGAAAATTCCACAATCTCTTCAATTAGCTTTTCAGATTCAAATTGGTTTGGAAACATTTCCAATTGAGATTTTAATTTTGGTAAGATTTGGTCCTCCCATAACCTTGTTTTGAACTCTTCTTCTTCCTTCTCTAGTTCCTGTTGGTGATATTTAATTATTGTAATACTTGCCCAAAAATCTGCATCTTTTTGAGCCATGTGAAAGCTTTTCATGTTTCCCAATTGTAGGGGCAAAAGAACTTTTGATCCAATCCCTCCAGGAGTCTTGATATCATTCTGAAACCTTTTGAGTGGCATTGATCTCCTCAATTCTGATTCCAGGGATCTAATTTTTGAAGAGATTAGCTCTGTTTTGCTTTTCCATGGCATGAGATTTGATGAAGGGATAGAAATATCTAATGTTGAAGTACTTTCTTTGGTAAATTTGAGTTTTGCAATTTTAGATAAAAAGGAATTATCAGCTTGGAAGACCTTCAGCCATTTCCCTTGATTCTGGGTTTTATAATAATGAAGTAGGATATTCTTCACAGCTTGAATCAATAGAATATCCTTTTCAGACACTTCAAAAGCTGATTCTTCAAAATTACTGCTTGGGACATGAAATAGGACCTTGGTTTCATCAGCAAGGAAGTATTGAAGAAGTGACTCTTTTATCTGTGTAGATTTTGGTGAAATGTAGCCTAGATGATGGCCCTCATCAAAACACTCTATGGTTCCTCTGTTTTCATCCGCTGAAAGTATTTGTAAAACCCAATTTTGGACTGCCTCTTGTTCCTCAAAGTAGGTTTTTCTTCCGCTTCCAGCACCCCAGAAACCCAGGATACGAGAATTAATGCACCATAGGGCATTGGCAAATTCCTCTAGGGGACGGATAAGTGGTACTAAAGTGGATGCACCGTCAAACATGTAAGAATGCTGTTCAGAATAAGCTGGAAAACTTTGGGATGTAATAGCCTTCTCTACTGCAGATGCAAAAGACTTTCCACTTTCCCATGCCTCATCAATTACTCTTCCCGGAACATCTTCCCAGAGCATTGCAGCAGTGGCCCAGAATTTGTCTTGTGCGCCCTTCCGCATCATGACAACATCGTTATTTGTGTGAACAATGTAGATACTTCCATTCCGATCCTCCACAAATCTCTCAAAAAGCGAAGGGATCTTATCTGAATGCCTTGGCCTTTTAACTTGTATCTTTTGCCGCGATCCAGTGGTAGGACCATTCATAAAATTTCCCTTCGCAGGTTGATTGACCTTGGCTGCGGCAATTTCAGGAGCTCCAGGAACACCTAAGGCAAGGACACATTCTTCAGGTAGGTCAGATTTGCGACCAATTGTGCGTTTGCGTTGGTTCACCATTGTGAATTTATTTCTCCTTCGACTATCTTCGATTGGACCATTATTCATGCTTTCTGAATCTGCAGAGGTGTTTCAAAAGATTCAGAGAAATAGCAGTCGACAAAAAAATATCAGCGGCAAATTAGAGTAATCAAGATAGATCATAGTTGTCTTACGAAGATATTGCTCCCCGTTGGGCTTCGTCGAGTGTATCTCGGCCAGTATCTTTTTCAACCCCATTCCGGCAGATTCTCTTTTTGGACGCTTCCCAGCGGGCGATCCTTTGTCTTGCTTCTCTCTCAAGGGCCTCTTCGAACGTATCTTCTTGTTCAGTTTCTGTCCCCAGTTCATTTCTTTTGAAGCAGAGGGATGCAGTGATGTGCCAATTACTGTTCCGCGGGGTTCCACTTCTAAAGAAAGTTGTCCCCTGTCAATTGGTCTGCCTATATTGCTGAATAAACCTGAATAAGAAGGTAATTGGGTGTAAAGCAAAATTATTTGGAAGATCAGGTCTTCGCCCGAAATCAGAAGTTTGAGGTCTGTGAGACTTACTGCGGTGACCTAAGTCGCCACTCTCCACTGAGTCGGGTGCGGGCAGTTGACCTGATAACTGGCTTTTTGCGGACACACGAGGGCTAACAGTTTGTGGTCTCGCTTCAGCGGATGACGGTCCCTCCGGCTTCCTGCAAGAATACCATTTGTTGTTAGTTGTAAGTGCCTTAATATCTATGTCATTAAATGCCAGATACTCAACTCGGACTCGTCCAATACCATGTCATCTGTGCTGTGAAATCGGGTATTGGCGGCTGAAAACCCATCTTGCTCCGGACCAGGGAAAGGCCCCCTTTGGTAACCTGTTGATTTCCTAAGAGAAGAAAAAGGGCGCTTGCCTCCTATGTGCACCTGGGCCTCTAATTCATTATCACGAGCTGGAAGAGGTATGTTACCAAGAGCCCTCAGAGAAAAATAGGCAAACAAAAAGAGGCTGCACCCCGTGAGACGCAGAAAGGAGGAAATGACTGCCATTCTCTTATGACTTTCTTTTGAGCTGGATTTGAGTTGCCTGAGCAGTTCTTTTTGCAAGAGCTTCAGCAACTCCATCTTTTAAACTGTCAAGGGACATCGCGCGCAGGAGCGGAAACAGCAGCAGGCGTGTTCATGACCTAATCATACCTTGACTCTGACTCGGTACGTTGAGCACCAGCCCAATGTGGTCGCCGGCCAGACGGCGTCGCACCGCAGTGGAAACATGGATGCTAGGACTACGACAGCTGCGACTACAGAACCTTTACATAAAGCTCAGTCAGAGTTCAATAACTATCAAGCCCCATCCCTACGGTCGACGCGATGCAACAGGAGCAAGTCCACTCAGCTTAGAAACAGTCCCCTAACATGAATTAGGACCAAGTTTGGATATTCATAAGATCAGATTGACTGTATTCCCTATTTATTGACCTGTTGCATCTGCAATTGTCCCCCTCCCCCACAGAAACCTGATTCAAACTTACTGTGCATTGGAAAAAATTAAGCAAACAAATGGGCTCCTCAGGACTGTACCATGCCTGACAGATCTGCAAACTTGAATCCAACACCCCCCCCCCCCCTTTTCATGTCTGGATAAGTACCATGATGTCATTTTGTTTTGGCATGAAACTGTAACCCAGTTTTCTGTTGATGAAACAATGTCTGTATGATTAAAATTCTCAATCATGAAGGACTCTTTGGAATTTTGAATGTTTCATTGGACTTGAAAGGTGGTGTTTTGAATTTGATCACCACAATCATTTTGGATCATGCAAAAAAGCACTGACTTAAGAGACTTCAAATTTTTGATGAAACAAATTGAGGGTGATGAAAGCAAGGAATTTAAGAAATGGGTGGATATTCTAACAATGTTGATCAGATTGGTAAAATGAGGAATTTGGATTCCTGAAAACATCTAATTAGATTGACTATTTGATGAGGCTAATGATATGATCTGACACAAAAAAATATGATACACATTTGTGAGGCCCTGAGAGGCAAGGGATTTTTAGAAGAAGCTTCCCAATTCCATAGAATATTATCAATTTTGAGGAGAAAATATAATACAAGACTTCTCCCAATCCTATTAAATCACATATCCCTAAAAAATATGTAGAAAAAGAGCTTTGTGAGATCAATAATTAAGTGCCACCAGTAGCTGCACACCAACATATGCCCGTCCTGACTGTTCCCAATTTTTCAAGAACGGGGTTGGGAACACACTGTTATGAGCTGTGGGAGCTGTCACCTGGACTTCTACATATGTACATAGCCTTTTATGCACACCTCACAACTTCCCAACTTACAGTCGGTTTGAAATTCACACCTTGTGTATTCCTCATCTTGCAATCTTCCATCAACAACCAGGACCCTGAGGATCCTCACCTGCTCTCCACAGAACACCCAAAACACACACCTCACTAACCTTAAATATTCTAACAAATTTAAAATCCCAAGAGCACCACTAAAGAACTCTAATCAGGACTTACCTGATGCCCGACAAGGGTAGTCAAAGTTCAAATAAAGCAGCTCATGAACCACTTTCACATACAATTATTGGCTGAGAAGGCACCCCTCCCATAAACTGGACTCCTGGAGTCTGAAAGCGTGGCACTGATTGGACTATGGGAAGGCCACATTATCTGAACTGTGAATACCCTCATTAAAGCCAAGAAAATATTCTAGCCATCAAAATATCTTTTTTGTTTTGTTTTGGATTTTGTCTCCAAGGGGCCCAAGGGGGGAGTTTTGGGAGAAAAAAAGAAGAGAAAGGTTCCTTTCAGGTATCACTAGGCATGGAATGTAAATTGAAATATGAACTTGATGGGATTCTATGTTATTGTTTTTTTTTTTTGCAAAAGTTTCAATAAGACTCTACAACATAATTTGTAATCCAATCATTCAATTCTTTTCTTGACAAAGCTCCTGCTGGAAAATCAAATTCTTCCGACTTGATATGATGATCCATTTGTCCATGATTATACAAATCAGTTGCCCATGGGATCAAGTTAATTTTGAGTGGTTCAGTGAAAATAGATGAGTATCTGTTGAATGATTTTGAGGATTTCTCTAAGAAAAGTTGGTGTTGAATGGTAGAAAAGATGGTCAAAAACTGATGATCCTCCTTGAAAACATCTTTCCATTTTCCCGGGTTGACAAGTTTGTAATAAGATCCAAGGAGATGAACAGCTGCTTCAGTCATCTGAATCTCCTTCTCTGAAATCTTGAGAATCTGTATCCTTGATAAGGTAGAAAGTGGCATATATTTTGTAGATTGATAGACTGGAGATCTCTTAGTAGAGAGGATTGATTTGATAACCAAATTCTTGAGGATGCTATGTTTCTTCAACAACCCTTGATCCAAATATTGAGGAAAACTTGAATGAGTTTTACTGTTGAAGGTACTTAGGAAAAACTCTTGAACAGACTTCTGTTCAGCCAAATAATCATGTATGGATTCATGAGTTTGATAGAATCTAAGAAGTCTTGAATTGAATAACCAAAGCAGATTTGAAAACTCTTTGATTTCTTCAATTAATTCCAAGATTAAAGGCAAAGTGATCTCTTCATGATTCTGAGCTGGATTCAACTTCTTTCTCAAATCATTCACAAGTTGATGCTCCCATAAGTTTGTTTTGAATTCATATTCTTCCTTCTTCATTTTGATCCCATGACTTTTGATCATTGTGATCCATGCCCACAGCTTTGGATCTTCTTTGACCATGTTAAATCCTCTTGTGTTCCCAACTTGGAGGGGTGAAAGAAATCTGGTAGTTGGGCCAAGAATTCCTTGATCTTGATGATCTGGCATTCTGACATTATTTAGTAGTGTTTCCAGTATCCAAGAGTCTCTTGCTACTTCAAGAGGAGATTTAACTTGAGAAGAATGTGATTCTGATGGACTTTTCCATGGGATCAAGCTTGACATATTATCATTTAAGAAGTGTTTGATGGCTGAATGTGTTTTCCTATTGATTTTATTAGTGATCAGTTTAGCTAAAAATGACTCATCATCTTGGAAGACCCTGATCCATTTGCCTTGATTTTGTGTTTTATAATAAGTTCCCAGAATATCCACCATTAATTTGATCAACAGAATGTCCCTTTCAGATACTGCCAAATCTGATCCTTCAAAAGTGCTACTTGGTACATGAAAAACTATCACTTTCTCATCAGAAAGTAGGTATTCAAAAAATGAATCTCTTATGTTTGTTTGTCTTGGGGCAACATAAGCCTGATGGTGCCCCTCATCAAAACATTCAATAACTTTTTTATCTTGATCTATTGACAGAGTATGCAACACCCATTCTTGGATTGAAAACTGCTCTTGAAGAGAAAGGCTGGGTTGATTTTCAGCGCCCAAGAGCTCCAGGATTTGAAAGTTGACAGCCCAAAGTGCATTGCTGAATTCCTCCAGGTCGCAATGCAGTGATACTGTAACAGATTCCCTTTGAGGTTTGTGAGAGCTTTGTTGAACATAAGACAGAAAATCGGTGGATGAAATAGCTTTTTCGACTGCAGATGCAAACCCCTTGCCATTCTGCACCGCCTCATTGATCACTCTTCCTGGCACATCTTCCCAGAGCATGGAGGCACAGGCCCAGATCCTGTCTTGAACACCTTTCCCAATTGTGAAAACCTGACTTATTGTGTTGAAAGTAGTACTAGCTGTCCCTTCTTCCAAAGATTTTCTGCCCAAATTATGAGCAAGACCTTGGCCATTCTCATCGCCCAGAAGCCTTTTCATTGAATCGACTTCTTCTCCGAAGTCCACCGGAACATTTTCAGCAGACTCATCGAGAGCATTCTTCATCTTTACGAAGCGTTTGTGACGTCCTTTCTTCCTCTTATTCAGAATGGCTTTGCGCCGTTTGGCAACCTTCACAGAGAGCCGATCATCTTTCCCCTTTTCTGAGGGGTCACCAGATGGTTCGGACTTGAGATCAGAAATGGATGTCTGTTTAGTGACCACCACCCGACTTCTGGCTTGACTTTGACTCTCTTTGAATTTGGATTCCAGCTTCTTGTTTTGCGGACCTATATGAACAACTTTTCAAAATCACATTCACCAACAAAGACCCATTATCAGCAGATTGACATCAAAGGACTCCAAAAAAATGGATGACAGTTTGCATACGAGGACTAGGAAGCTCGATCATCTGGGCCTTATTTGACATCTCGCCGTCCAACGCTGTGTCTAAGCGGAGTCCTTTCAAAGCCGAGGCATGTCCAGATATGTCAAGTACTGGAGAACGGGATTCCAGTGCAGGCCCCAGCTCGTGCCCGCCAATTCTGCTGTCCGCATCTTTGGATGTGCTAGAAGCTGATAAATACATGTGCAGTCAAATCATTGCTTGAACATCATTTTAGCACGAGGCCAGTACAACGGTTTGACTTACCGCTGTGACCTGCAGCTGGCTCGTCCGACCCGTGGTGGGTATGAGGTCCGGTTGGTCCCGCTTCGCCCGCTGGCGGTTCCTCTGGAATCCTATATAAAAAAACACCCCATTTTGAAAATCAGATGTTACTGTTAGGGCCTGAATTTGATAAATTTGTCGCCCAGCACCCAACTCAATCCCATCCAAAGCCATGTCCTCCTTGCCGCGGCGTTCTGCACCGGGGGCCGCCGGAAGCTTACCGTCGGCCGGATCAGAAGCGAATGATGACCTCCGCATGGATGTCGATTCCGCGCCGCCAGTGAAGGAGGGACGCCCAGGCCTTGAACACATCCGTACTTCTTTTAATTCTTGGTCGCCTTCCGGATGCATCATGCTACCAAGAACCGCCGGATTCAGATACGCTAGCATCCAAAGACTCCATGCGCAACGAATTTTCATCTTTTCACGATCGTGAGCAGTGGATGCTGATTAATTCAATTTTTTTTTTTTTGTGACAGTGCAAGAAACTCCCTTGTGGCCTCTAGGCTGTCAAAGGACACAAAGGACGGGAACAGGCCGCAGAGGTAAACAGCTGCAGTTCAGCGGTCCAACTTTCCCCAATACAATACAGCTCTATGAACCTCCGCAACCATGCTGTACTAAAATAGTCTTTGAGGAGAGTTGTGGGGACCTGAGTTCTGCGGATTGAACTTATGCATAAAACCTGATGTGGCCAAACGCCGGTGTACAGCCCCTTGACAGAAAAAATGGAACCCCTTACTTGGAGTCTAGAGGGCAAACCAATGGACTTCAATTTATGCTTCCTGGTGAAACTGTGGAAAATAAGTTCTAAAGAATGATTCTGAAAAATTGGATAGGAAATTATTTTGTAAAAATTTTGTGTATTTTTCCCCATTTTCTGATTTTTTTGGTATTTTTCAATTATTTTTCAAAGTAGCTCAGAAAATCGTGATCAACACAATTGCATGTGAAAAGAATGATTATAAATGAAAAATTTAAAAAAAAAATTGATCAACAGCTTTATTAAGCATGTTTTGATTCTGTCATCCATCAGACCAACCCTCCAATCAGGCACTAATTAAATTGAATTCAATTTCCTCCTCCATCCAACTTCTTCAGCTCTCTAAACTTTTGATCATTGATTTTTCTCAATTTTTAATTTATAATCATTCTTTTCACATACAATTGTGATGCTCCTGAATTTTTGAGCTACTTTGAAAAATGATTGAAAATTTTTAAAAAAATCAGAAAATGTGGAAAAATATAAAATACAAATTACAAAACATTTTCCTATCCAATATGTCAGAATCATTCTTTAGAACTCATTTTACACAGTTTCACCAGGAAGCATAAATTCAAGTCCATTGGTTTGCCCTCTAGACTGCAATTAAGGGGTTCCATTTTTTCTGTCAAGGGGCTGTACACAACTTCCTACATAAAAAACACGAGAAATTCAAGATTCTTATCGTTTAAATTGCTGGCTCGAGAGATCGAGGAGTTTCGACCACCCCACATGCTTTTAGGTAGTAAGATGAGACAAGTGGGGATCGTCTCATCGTGGCAAGCCATGATAGACCTTACAGACTCTAGCAAAACACGATCCGCAGTACCCGACAAAAAAAAACACTACATACTTTTTCGACAGCCAAAGTCCAGCCAGTCTCTGTTGTGCTGTGCCTTCAGACTCAGACTCGACTGAGTCTGAAGCATGTGGTGCCCCTTCAACCCACATCACGGTTGTACGAAAAATTGAATTGGAGGAAGTGTGGTTGTTTGATTTGACAAATCAAAACACATTCTATTGTTGTGATCCAAATGCAAAGAGCAATGAATTAAAAAAAAAACAAGTTGTAAAATTGGATTGATTTTCAACAAATAACAATCAAGATAATGTGTTCCACAAAAAAAAAAAAAGAAAGGCTAAGAAGATTCCTGATCAGACAAGAGATGTTGATACTCGTCAGCGGCGGCAAAAGTAGGCAACGTTTTCCAACTAGTTTTCCGTTTCTTAGAAGCCGGCAGCCCTCCCGCGGATTTCTGCTGGGAACTAGGTTTCTTTGAAGCATGATCAGGTTTGCGTTTGCGAGACGAGTGGGAATCCTTGAGCGCCGAACGCTTCTGCGCGCTTTCATCATCTTCTTCTCCAGCAGCTTCAGAGTCTGAGGAGTCATCGTCTAAGCCGGAGACACTGATCTCCTCATTCTCGAAGAAAGACGATCCGCCAGCCCGATGATCCCCAGACACGTCCGAGCCCTCATCATCATCGTCGTCGTTTTCTTCGTCTGCTAAAAGTTGCTTCAACTTGGCATCGTCTTCATCATCCTCGCTATCCTCGAACTCCGCAGGATCCATCGCCGACCAGTCGTCCTCCGACACATCGTCCGGCATGGCCGTCTTCAGTTCCTTGCCCATCGACGCTTTCATCGCCGCCCACACCTCATCCTCATCGTTCTCTTCCGTCCCCTCATCATCTTCATCTTCTGCTTCATCAAAGCCTGGTAAGACGGCCGATCCATCCTCTTCCTCTTCTTCCGACGACCCGTCATCCGAACCTCCTCGACCTCCAAAATCTTGCTCTTCTGTTCTCGTTTTCTTGGATTTGACTTGTTCCTTCTGTTTCTTGTGTTTCTGGTCATTAATCTCCTTCTTCTTAAAAAACTTATGAAAAAATACCTTTGAAGTCATAAAAGAGAGGTTTCAGTCATCCTAAAATTATCCACAACGAAAGAAAAATGGACTGAATTGATAAGTCTGCTTACCTCATCGGCCGGAATTTCCTCTTCCTTACGAGACAGGAAGCTTTTGGAGTTGACGGGAATTTTATCGGAGTTAGAAGGGAGATGATTGGGACGACGTTTGACGACGTCGGCGAGTCGATAATGAAGGTCGGGTTGCATGATCGACGAGCCCTTTTGGGTAAGGTTTTTCTTAGGCTGACGGTAGACGAATTTGTCGAGGAAGTTGGAGAGGGTGTGATGGGTCAAGTCGACTGAGGATGAGATCGGCTCGCCGGAGAGCAGTTGGCTCGCATTCAGACTGACGGCTGGATGGTAATGACTCAATAGTGGTACCTAGTCGTATCGTCAGTTTCCAACAGATGAAGAAAAAATAAGTTGATAGGTCAAGTGCATCTGTTGAGCGAGCGAAATCACTTACCAGTTCCCAAAGACAAGACTTGTCGGCATTAGCATAGCTAGGATCGCGTTTTCTCCCATCGTACTTTTCCTTTTCAGTCAATTCTTCCGTTTCGGGACGTTTCGAAAAGAGTTTATTACAGTGTGGATTTGTTGAAAACAGCTGTGTTTTTTTTGTTGGAGGAAATGTGCGAGTTAGGAGCCAATAAGCATGTGCCTATGAGGGGGGAGAAACACTCACATGACCCAGTAGGACGATAGCCGAACAAATGAACGGGGGTTGATGGTAAGGAAGGATTTGGACGACTCGTTTGACGAAGCCAAGGACACGGGATGAATTGGGATCGGCCTTGATGGACTTGAACAATAGGTTGAGATAGAGGCCGTGCTTAGAAGGAGCAGTCAGTAGACGATAATCGATCAGGGTACCATACAGGACTCGATAGAATCTGTCGCTTAGATCCGGTTTAGACTTGAGTAGATGTTGAACCAAGATTAGGGCCTGGATCGAGACACTGAATGCTCCGGTATGACTGATCCGAAAGAGTGTATCCATGTAACCTTTGAGGATATCATTTTCGATCGATCCGTATGGGAATGCACGATTCAAGCCAGTCAAGATGGCAGCCACGAGCTTTGCCTTTTTTTCTGCGACCGCTTCCTCCTCAGCGATAGCCTTAGTTGATTTACCAGTCATAGGCCCTTGTCCGCCTTTCTTCTTGCGGCCCTTGGCTTGTTTTTGAGCGGTTTCTTGCTCTTGCGCATGTTCAGCCTCGAGATCCTCTTCGTTCTTCTCATCCAGATCTTCGGGTGCTTTGATTTCCTCTTCGGTCTTGGCTTTGCCCAGGATATCATTAAAGAGTTCGAAGTAGAGGTGGATAAGTTTGTTGGATACATCGTGCTCTTCCTTGTTGAGTGGGATCTGGTTGAGAGTGATGGTGCCATAATAACGAGCATGGTCATGGTGACGAAGACTGGGGTCGTCTGAGGCGGTCTTGTTCTTTTGATCGGCTTTAGAAGAAGGGTGGACGATGATTGGCTTGAGGACTAGGGCCGAAATTTCCCTGGCAACGATCGGCTTGATGAAAGGGTGAACTTGAAGTAATTGGAGTAGATAGTGTGAGGATCGAGAGCAGATCATCTTACTGCTATCACCTAGTTTATTGACTAGTAGGGTTAACAGGTTCTGTTCCTGTTCTGGTTTATCCTTGAGTAGATAGAATAGATGAGAGAGACTTTGAGAGCGTGTGTTGACGATAGGATCGTGAGAGAAAGACTAAAAAGAAAAAAAGTGGGATGATTGATCAATCAGCCAGTCCATAGTACATCTCGATCAGAATGAATTGGACTAACCTCTATGACACGCAGAAGATCGAGATACCAATTCTTGAGCCAGTCCTCGAAAGCCCAGATTGCGAGCCATTCGTCGTACTCCTTCCGGGTCTGGTCGTCAAACTTGAACTGAGTGCGAGTCTTGGATAGACCGTAGGCCTGAGCGATGATCGGTAGGGCCGGTTGATCTCTGAAGTACTTGAGCTTCCGAGCTGGCAGACCACCCAGCTCGGGGTTCCCAGCCCCTCTGAGCCATTCTACTAGTGAGCGGAGTGTCCTGGTTGCCTCTTCTCGGTTCTTCTTCTTGGATAGGTTGAGTAGGGTGGTCAGATGATTCCGAGAGTGGAGTGGGGTGGATGAGACGAGTAGGGTGAGTGCTGAGAGTTTATCGGTTGAGGTACCCGAGGTGAGGATGCGATGGATGAATGCTTTATCAGATTCAGAGAGTCCGCTGAAGTTTGGGTTTGATTTGGATTTGGATGCTGATGGTTGGATTGAGATCGAGAACTGTTCGCTGATGGTCTTGAGTATCCAGTCTGCTCTGGTCTTGAGTAGTTGGATGTGTTCCTCTGAGATTTGGGTTGACTGGTTCTTCTTGGGTACTGGTATTCCTGGGAGGTAGCTAGTATCGTACCAAATCGGTTGTGCTCGAATCAGTTGCCAGTCCATAATGTTCTTGTTCTTGTTGCTGGTGGTGGTGGTGGTCAGTGAGTGAGTAAGTGAGTGGGATGGCGATCATAAAAAAGTTCTCCCACCTCAAAAAAAAACTTGATTTTGCATATCACTCCAACCCCCCTCCCATATGCAATATACAATCCATCTCCCTCTCGTCAATCAGCCAGGGGGGGGCTTGCCCAAATGAGCACACATCTCACTCCATATAGAGCCAGTCATCAAACTCTGTCTACAAAATTAAAATGGGGAAAAATAAACAACAATAAACAGATGAAGAACTTGACAGGATTGCTCTGCAGGAAATTCAATCCACTTTTGATCATGAGCCGAATAGGTTCAGACAATGAGAGTCACTATGTACTCTAGGATGAAGGTGTCAAGAGGTCTTAGTGGATCTTCCATTCTCTATAGCTACCAGGATGATTGAGAAATTTTTCTTTCGTATATTTCCAGTCGAAAATCACTCTTCAGTCTCAAACAATACACCCAAACTGGTTTTTACAGTTTGATTGGTTCCCAATCATTGATATTCATGTTGAGCTTGAGAAAGAACAAGCAACATGAACAGAACAGAACACGAAAAAGCAAGGGTTTGCAAAGGTTTGCAACTTTTACAAGGAACTTCAAAGACTTAGACAGGGTTGATTGAATAAATCAATTGTCTGTCGAGGGAGGGAGGAGGGAGTGTGAAAAAAAAGCCCGATTACATAATCTCCGATGGCGCAATCGACACACTCTAATTGACGATCCGCCGGATTCCACTATCACCCTCCAGTTGACCATCACCAGTACATACACATCCACACTTTCTCCTCCTCCTCCTCCTTATAATAATCCTCCTACATAATCTTCACCTATCTAGTTCCTCTCTCTCTCTCCTTCTTAATGCCACCCTCAACCTCCGCCAATCGTTCACCCAGCAGTCGAAAACGTCATGAGAGTGTCAGCGCTCAGAGGGAATCAGCCTCAACCAAATCGATTGGCGAATTCGAAATCGTAAAGACACTCGGCCATGGCAGCTTCGGCAAAGTCAAACGTCAGTACTCTACATCCACTCATCTCCATCTACTCCCCCCTTATCTCTTCAATCATTCGCTCATCGATCTTACGTTCATCATCATCAGTTGCCAAGCATAAACTCACTCGATTAAATGTCGCCATGAAATTTTTATCCAAGAAGAAGATCCTCACCCAAGAGATGAGGGATCGGGTCAAGAGAGAGATCGAATATCTCAGCTTCCTCAGGCACCCTCATATCATCAAGCTGTCAGTCCAGTCACCAACACCTCTCTCTCTCTCTCTTCTCTCTGAAACTAGAATTTCTTCCTTTTCCGCTCTAGATACGATGTCATTCAAGATAATACGGATATCGTCATGGTCATAGAGTACCTCAAGGGAGAACTGTTTGACTATATCGTTCATGTAAATCTTGTCGCTATCTCCTATACATAATTTCCAAACCGGCGATAAAACTAACGCTGCCTACTTTACTTTAGGTCGGTAAAATGCCAGAGCACGATGCCAGGCGATTCTTTCAACAAATCATCTGTGCCGTCGAATATTGTCATCTCCACAACATCGTTCATCGTGACCTGAAGCCTGAAAAGTAGGTAAAACTCCTGACTGATCCCCCCGCATCTATTCAATCAATCAATCAGTCAACAACGACCATCAAGATTGATTTCAAATTATCTGTTTAGTTTACTACTGGATCATAATCTCAACGTCAAGATTGCCGACTTTGGTCTCTCAAACATCATGCGCGATGGCGATTTCCTCAAGACGAGCTGTGGTAGTCCAAACTATGCCGCACCTGAAGTGATCAGTGGCAAGTTATACGCCGGTCCTGAGATCGACATCTGGTCCTGTGGTGTTATCTTATTCGTCATGCTATGTGGAAGATTACCGTTTGATGATGATCATATCCCGATGTTGTTCAAAAAAATTAACAGTTGCGTCACATCTCCAACTTTGGTCCCACACACCCCTCAGCTGAACACTGATAAACAAATTATTTATTTATTGAATCTACTACTACTAACAGGCGGACTTTACTCACTCCCCCCTCATCTCTCATCTGGATCAAGACATCTACTCAGTCGGATGTTGGTGGTGGATGTCAACAAACGCATCACGATCCCCGAAATTCGTGAACTTGATTGGTTCAAACAGGATCTCCCAGAATATCTCAAACAAGTTAGTCGACCGATCGCCGTCAATCTTGATGAATCCCGCAAAAGCAGTATCTCCGACGCTCCGGACCCTTCTCACCAAGTTCAACACGAACCTGAAGATACAACCCCGACTGATTCAAACGAGATTCATGCACCTGGCCTCGGAATTCTCGATCCCAGGGTGATCAACGATCTCTGTAACTTGATTGGAGATAGGATCACCGCAGAGGATATCTATAACGTATTGGTCAATGATCTCGACAAGAACATCAAGATCTCCTACCAACTTGCTCGAGATTATAGAAGGATGAAAGAAGGCACCGCGTTCATGGACGACTCGCACACTTCTGGGCACTCAGCAGAGGCACCCTTGGGCCGGTCAAGCTCACTCAGAAGCCGCGGACTCTGTACATCTCTCAACGCCCCTCAATCACAAAGTAGTACGACCGCTGAATACCCTTTGAATGCTTCATTGGATACGCCTGAGGATACTGGGCCTTCCCACATCCGAATCCTTCCTCATACGCTACCGCCGACGGTGACCCCTGGGCAAGCTGACGGCCTTTCCCGCTTAAAGCAAAGTCTAATGAACACCCAGTCATCACCACTCAACAGCCTCAACAAACCCTTCACACCCGCCGAGCCCAGACGGCCAACCGATCGAGTCGCAGAAAGCTCACAGCGCACGTTGACTGGCAGCGGGAGGATCAAGAAGGCGCCCAAGACAAAATGGCACTTCGGTATTCGATCCAAATCACCACCCATGACAGTCATGTTGGAGATCTATCGAACCTTGCAGACTCTGGGATTCGAATTCAAACGGAAGGATCTCCACTCTAGCACTCTGGAAGAAGCTCCTGAAGAAGCTCCGGCAGAAACTGAAAGTGAGAAGAGGAGAAGACGAAGGAAAGCCGAGGAAGAAAAAGTCAAACAAGCTCAAGACCTTTATTTCATTGAGACTCGATGCAGATTGGACAATGTGGTAGTCAGTACTATTCCATCCTAAGCAGATCTCTCTAACTCAGTCCCGAGAACCTCCAGCCTCAGATCTCATTTATCCAACACTAATTCTATCTATTATTTTTTTTGATGACACTGTTGATGATTGAATGTAGGTTAGAATGGACTTGCAATTATACCAAATCGAAGTGAACAACTATCTGGTAGATTTCCGGAATCTAGGCTACAAGCCGATCCAGCCAACCGGCCAACCAACGACGACGACGCGCGAGGAAGCGGCGGCCAATCGGCGACGGGCTGCTAGCATGGGCGGCGGCGCGTCCAGTTCGCCGTTCCTCTTCCTGGAGTGCGCTTGTAGGCTGATCGTCGAATTGGCCGTCGGGCCTTCGGAGTCTTGAATCAATAACCCCCTCTCCGCTCGTTCTCTACGTCTCTCTCTCTCCCTCCCTGCATGGACTTTTCTTCCTGTTGCTCAAGTGTACGACTATTCTGCATGGGTTTTCCTTTTTGATTTCCTTTTTTTTCCCTTACACTCTCTATCTCTCTGTGTCTGTGATCGTTGAGCATATATATGTGTACCATATTTTGATTATTTAAATCTTTAAATTTTGCATTTTTTTTCCTTTTTCTTATTTTTTTTGTATTCCTCGTTATCTCTCTCTCTCTCTCTCTTCTCTTTTTGGGTCCCTTCTCAGTCAATCCTGTCTTGCTCAACCATGTCCAAAAATTCCACAAACTCAGAGCTGTTGACGTTTTACGAAGAACATGTCGTAGTAGTAGGTAGTAGTAGTAGTAGGTAGTAGTAGTCGTAGTCGTAGTCGTAGTCGTACACATTTTGTCATCATCAACTTCATAATCAGATGATGAAGATGATGATGATGCTCATTAACAATAAGAAAAAGTAGAATAGATCGGTTGCTTCCTTTCGTTCTATGGTCATCGTTTCACTTCCCAATCTAGAAAAAAGTGTATGTATAAAAAACTTTGTGGTTGAGTCCACCGCATGCCCAATATGCCAGAAGAAAGAAAAGCGTGGATTATGTTGAGGGGTTACGCCACGGGAAGTCTGGACAATTATGAGGGTTGGACTATTAGAAGCCAAGGCTGCAAACATGAGGGATGCAAGCAATGGGAACCGTGTTCAGGAGCCACGGCGATCTGCTCGAGCTCCGACAGCTGATCTTCAGGGGAATCAAGAACACTTCCTGTTCCTGGTTGTCGGGTAAAAAAGAGCTCACCACTCCAGTCACAGTCGCTCAAAAACCTGCAAGATATAATTAGTCAAATCACTCATCATTCTCAATCTGAAAACAAAAAAACAGGTCGCAAGTCATTATCCACCTTACTGGAATATAAAGATGTCATACGCCCAACCGTCGAGAGGGGGACATATATAAGCGAACTTGATGTCAAGGTCCCTCCGAAGGCGGAGGCGTGAAGGCCGGCTATGGCTACATACACCTATGTAGGCCGAAGGAGGAGGACCAAGTGGGCCGGATTTTGGATCGTAACGAAACTTTATAAAGAGCTTCCCTCATGAGCCATCGTCACATCACAACTCGGTTGAATGTGAGCCAAGTGAATATTAGTGTTATCATGAGCATTAAAGATTTGCCGACCCTAGTTCGTGTATCTTTTTGATCACTGCAGACCTTTGTTCATCTGTTTTAAAGGTGGGCAAGAGGTTGATGACTTATCAGTGATCAGAGGATAACTGATCACTTGTTTGATGGAGGCGAATCGAGCAATTCCTATGGCTCCAATAAATGGATTGGAAGGTAATAAAAAAAATCAGCGAAGCATGCCGATATCTATCTTTAAGCCTAATTACCAAATAGTCAGTCGGATTGGCCTATTGGATAATTAGAAGTTTTTTTCTTAAATGTGAAGCATCATGAAGGAAGGCCACAAAAGGTCACCATTATTCTGATGCCTTCAAACTAAAGGATCAAAGACACGTTCATACATTCAATCTCTACATAAGAAAGAGTGCTGGGTCCCTTCCTTCAATGCTTCAACTGGCGCGTCTTGGATGCCAATCATAACTCCGTCCTCCCAGTCATCCCCAATCAAAACATGATGCAAGGTCCATCCACGATCAAGATGAAGTGTCCAAAAAGCCCAGTCCTCGACCGCTTGACATTCACTTGACACCGTGAATATCGCGATCGACGTGATCTCAAGTGTTATATAACTTCTGAGTTTGTCTCGCACCAATCCATTGCTCTCTACCGCTTTGACGCCGATTCACATGGCTCTCGGCAGATCGATTGGTGGGAGAAGAAAGAGCTCCCGGCGAAATGAGCATTCAGCAGTGCACAACAAGCAAACTCGGCAAGCTCTCGGTTGTATAGGCTCGGCTGAGCTGAGGACGAGTGCCATCCATCGACCTGGAACACGATCATCGATGCAGATCGGCGAGCTGGCATGTCTCGCACAGCACGTCGTGACTCATCAAGATCCTGACTGAACCTCTCATGAGCCTGACTGATTCTGAACGACACCGGTCCCCACTGGCTCTGCGACTGTATGGTACACAAAGCAGTCCCCAAAATCCAGCTGAAGCCATCTATCCATCATCAAGATTTGGCCACTAGCATGAGCGTGGAAAACACGCGCGGCGATTCAAGAATACAAGCACGTCGACGACTTGAGAAAAACATCAAATCATCAGACATTAACCTTCGACTATATTTCTCTGTCTCTCATAATGATGAATGAAATGTTTGTTGACGGCCAAACCACCTGCAATGATCTATTTTCTTTCTTTTCTCGTGCGTCCGGCATCCCCGGCCTTGAGGACTCCGGCCTGTGTGCAGACGTTCTCCTATAATGGAGCTTTCTTTTACAACAGGGGCCGGAAAAAAACGGATTTCAGAGTATGTATCACATCAAGACATGGCGCTTGAATCACGCCAATCCCGGTGCTCGAAAAGGAGCGGTATCAAGGCCTCCGATCAGCAAGTCTCATCCAACCGCATCTATCAGCAAAGTCAGTTGCTACTCGACTGTTCTGTTGTTGTTTTTTTCCACACATTTCCACCTGCATATTGTAAGATTTTGCATATGGTGGTGTGCAGCAGCGCGCTTTTGCGCATCATCTCCAGGTTCCACAGACACTCATTCATTCATTCATTTGTTTTTTCCCTTTCAGTTGTGGCGTTCGACCCAGGACTGGGATAAATTTGGGGGACTATTATGAGAAAAGTATTTGTTGATAGGTGCGGCAATCAGATGCCATCTATCTTGCGATATATGTGGGTAAGAAACGTTGCCTAATATGACTCTCATCATACTCCTAAGCATGTCAATATATCCCGCACAACAGATAGAACTCAAGATATCATCACCAATAGGTTGTGAATAGATATTTAAATATGCACAAAGCAATATTTTGTATGCGTTCAACTTACGAGATTAAAGGATGGGCACAGTCTTGAGATGGATGATCACCAAGCTTCCGAGACATCAGAACAGTCCATCCGCTTTTCCTCTTGATATCCATGGTCCATGGGTCCTTGCCCAGGCTCATCGTTATTGTCAGAGTTGTCAGAAGTTTGAATCTTCAGCAGCCGTCTGTGGACCGAGCCTGACCGAACTCGATCAGAATACAGAGCTGCTTGCTGCTCAGCGTTGTGACGAAAGCCGCCGCTGCACACACTCTCGATGGGGAAGCCATTCGAATGGTTTTCATAGATCCCTATAAACTGCCCCCCTGCTACTAGCTCGAGAGACAACGAGAGAGGCCCACTCACTAACTGTCCTTTCTTCAGTCCGAGACTTGTTCTTTCGAGGGATACGTATTTAATTAAAAAATCAACAAAAATTAAAACTCATCGACTCCGTATATGTAAGTATTTTAGTTAGATTGAGATTAGAGTCCACTGAATCTAGAACCCCCAGCATAAACTCTAGTCTGAGCATGAACTGTAGTTACAAATCATCGGTTTGAGTTCATCACATATACTCTTAATTCAATAAATAGAGTCGTAGACTTCGATAGACGCGTCTTGTTTTTTTTTTTGGAAAGATACATACAGATAACGAGTCCGAGTTCTCTCTTCGAGCGCGAGCCGACGCGTATACTCTTACCCAGCCTACGCCGGGTCTCCTCCAGGTCTTCCGGAAATCAAGTCGACCACAGCATTGGATTGCCCCAGGTTAGTTTTCCTGCGCTTGGGTTCCGCAGAAACTTCGTCTTGTTCTCCCAGAACCATCCCCAGCTGCTGTGTCTGAACACCTTACCCGCATCCCTTCATGAGCTATGTTGAACATCTGTCTTTTGGTCGACTTGGTTCTCCATTCATTCATCCATCTATCTCCGTTTCTTACCACTTGATTGATGTCCGGTAGAAGCTACAGGTGAGACGCCGACTCAGATTCCCAGTGATGAGTTCGCTCAGAATCTCCAAAAAGAAAAGTCAAGGTTTTTTTTATTGGGCATCAGGGAGATTTGAGGCCCTAGTTTTGTCCCCCTAAAGATAATCAAGTCTTGAGTCTTTGGGTGGATGGATTTCACAGTTTGGGATCTTGAAGATGATAGAGTTGCTTATGGGTTGTTCTTTAAGGATCCAGACTTGGTTCGATTGATGAGCCAATCCAGATGCCCAAATCCAAACAGTCCTAAAAAACCTAGTCGAATAATCTGCAGCAAGAAGATATCGTAAATTGTACCCAGAGCATATCTGGTCTGGTGGTATATGATATCTGCTGTTTTCATCTCCTATCAAGATTTCAACCTTCCCTTCTCTCTTAGCCTTCTCTCTCTCTCTCTGCCATCTCTTCCTCTTCCTTACAACAATACCTTATCCCAGAAATCCTAATTCCCAAATCCATCACCACCATTAACCTCAAGCTTTCAACTCTGTACGCCTTCATCGATTCCTGTTTACCTTTCTGATACACTTATTTTTTTCCCTACTTCTTTCTCTCTCTCTCTCTCTAATCTGTGAACCTCCGTGTATGCGGGTTTCTGACAGTGTGTGTGTGTCTCCTTCTCTGCTCCAGCCGTGGCTTTCGTCCCCTGTTTCGCGAGCTCTCCAAATCTCACACCCTGGTGGTTTTGAGGTGATCGAAGTAGGTTTTCGTTTGATCACACACCCGAGGACGGTTTTTGTTTTTTTTTGGGGGGGGAATCGATTGACCGACGATCTGCTCGCTCTGATTTCATTCGCCAACAGATTCCAGTCAAGGCCTGATCGGAAAAGCTTAATCGAAACCCAAGCGGAAAAACTCGGTTTTTTGTTGCTTGGAATCTAAAAATCGTAAGTTCTTGATCAAAGTTCCTTACATATCATTTAGCTCCCCTCGAGCTTTAAATACCCTTTCACAATTCCTTTCTATCATTGATGATCATGATGATGATGATGGTTACCAAAAACCGCTGCATACATCCTGCAACTTATCCACCCAGCTGGGGATCTTGACACCGCTCCCATCTGTCCGGGGTGGCGGCGATCAGGCTCATTAATCTGAGCCGGCAGCAGGGAAACCATAACCTAAGGGGAGATTGATGGAAGGAACACTTATTGTAGAAACCTTCTTGCTAGAGAGATTAGGTTGATTGCTGCTTTTCTTGATTCGATCCTTCTTCTTCTTACCACTATTTACACGCGTCTTCATCTCCATCCTTCCAATCCTTCTCTTGTCTTCTGTCACTCCTCCCTTGACCACTCATCACGATAATCCACACACCCATTCAACTTATATATAGATGGCTCGGGTGTTTGGTTCGACCTGCATGGAATCTCATTTTCCTTTTTTTTTTGAGGATCAAGCTCCGCACTGAGCTTGGTTCTCGGGATATGGATGGTGGCAAGCCACTGCGCTCATGAGCTCTTGATTTGCCACTGGCTCGGGGAGTTTCTTCAACTCCGCTTTGGTTTCGCCCAATCATCTGCTCACGTCCTCACGTGGTGATGCCTGCCAGTGTCGGGCTCTCCGACTGATCCGTCCTGCGCACTTGGGTTTCAAAACACCCCGATGCCCTCTTGTATGTACACTCTTCAACACTCGAATCATATCTCCAGATTATTTCCTCTTGGCCAGCAGATATACAGCGGATCTATCGCCGAGTGTGCTGTCAAGTCGATACCGCTCTCTTTTCTTTCTTTCACATGTGCTTATCTCTCAATGGGCGTTGTATTTTATTTCTGGTAAAGGGGGAGGTAGGTATAATAATATGTATGCCTCACGGTCACAAGACGGACAGTGATATGGGCGCCTTGGAATGATCGGCTGGTCATGACACTGTTGCTGCTGTCTTGACCTCTTTGCCAGTTCCATTCCTTTTTTTTTTTTTTCGTTTCCTTTTGTTCGATCGACTCCAAGCCAGCCAATCTCAGCTCCCATCCTTGCCCGCTCTGGCTCCCCCGGGCCCCAACCAATATGCTCCTCCTTCATTGACACTACTCGCACATACAAATCTGCGCTGGTTAGAGCTCTTGAAACAAGGCTTGGACTTTGAACGCCGACATCGGTCAACAAGCTTTTTATTTATATATATATCGTAGATGGATGGACGAGCCGCTCGAGTATTCCAGTCAACTGGTGTGCACTCTGCCAGCTTCAATATGTATGGCCATGGCCAACTCGATACAGATCGCTGTTGAGGTTAAAGCTCTGAAGTATGTCTCAAGACTTTCCTACGGCTTGCTTGCTCAGTTGATCGATTGCAGCAGGATTTTGAAACGGCTCTCTTGAACATCCAAGGAGTTGTGTATAATCTATACAGCCTCGCGACTCCCATACAGATTCTATAAACTCCTGTGTACTCTGGAGGGGTCTGCGCAAAGGGAAAAAGCCCAACAAAGTTTGTTGCGGCCGCTATCGTTGTTTCGCCTTTGCTTTTTGGTGTTGTTGTAATTCTCGCACTTCAAACGCCTTCTCTCAGTTTAAACATATTTCCACCAATATACATATATATTTCTCTACAATTCTTCTTGCCTAAAGTGCTTTGATTCCCCGGGGAGGTACATATTTTCAATCGCTTCCGACTCAAACCGACGAGACTTGGGGATTGTACTTCATTTCTCGTTGTCGCCTGCTCTGGCGTTATGGTTTCCTCACATCAGTTTCAAGGTTGAACTCTCCTAGGTAAATGATATTAGGATGTGACTGGTGGTATCTTCATATTCGTTGCTGCGGGCAACTGGCCTCGATGCATTTGTTGGATGTCCCTAATCCAGGCTTCGGGTTCGAGCTGATCGGCCAGATCATCATCTGCCTCGAGGCTGACTGACTGACTGTGCTTTGTTATAAATCACTTCAAACTGATCAACAAAAATATAACCCCTCACGATGAACATCCCGAACATCCAACCCCACTTTCCATCAGATTCTGTCGCCGATAATTCATGATATTCATAATAATAATAATAATCGATAATATTTCTTTGGCCATCTTATAATTTATATAAAACCTTCACTCGAATCTTGACCAGAGCTCTCCAGGCTGACTAGTGATCATCAAGAGGAAAAGAGTGTACTACAACTGCAGAGGCAACAATAATCCTTTTTATTTTCTTTTCTTTTAATCTTTTTTTCTGAGTTTCTTTCCCAAAGGAAACCTGTAAGGTACTACTAACACACCATTGCACTCCACATGCTCCACTATTCTTTCTCAACATCTAATCAATTCCGCCACCATCCCAGTCCTTCCGAACCGTTTTAATCTTCTTTCGCCCATTTTTTTCCCCTCTCTCTCTCCTCCTCCCTCTGTCTCAAGACCACTCCTTTAAGCTTCTCTGCCTCTTCAAACTTCCGCATCCTCCCTTGACTCACTCGCGTCTCGTGTGTTCAGTTGGATTCGATTTCTCGAATTCTCCATTTTCTCACGAAGCTCGACGATCCACCGAGGCTTAAGGATTTTAGCTCAACACCGTTCTGACTGGCGCGCTCATTAAGAAACCAATCTGCGTCAATTTGTGAGACTCGCTGAGAGCAGAAAGTAAATATAAATCTTATATTTCCACATATCCATACAATTCATTTATCTGGCCTGCTCCTTCTCGCTCTCCTCCACCCCCTCCTCCTGAACCCGCCTTGCCACCACCGCGCCTTAATTGGACTGCCCTTTGTTTCCCAGCGTGCATATATCTACACACACGCACAACTTCAAGCAGTGCCTCTCTGTGATGTAGAAGTCTATCCCATCCAACCCCCCGGAGGGCCTCGTTCTTCCTGTATTTACGTACGCCTTCACCATCTCATTTCCTCTGGCCGATCAGCTACACATAGCTACGTGCGTACGTACCGATAAAGAGATAATCGGGGATAAACAGTCTTTTCTTCTCCCCCAAATTACTCTCTACTCTGTCCTGCATCACCCAGATCTCATCACATCCATCTCGGCGTTTTTTTGTTGTTTTCTCTCGCATCATTCAATCTGTCCTTCCCCCTTATTCTGTTCTTCTTCCTTCCCCTTCCCATTGTTTCATGTGCTTCTTCAGTTTGATTTCTCATCTTCGTCTTTCTCCGTTGACTGCCGGGCCAAGCATCACTAACCAGACGCGCTCTTTCTCACTCGCTCTTTTTTTTTCTTATTTAGTAGGTTAGCCTTACCCAGCAGCAACCCCATCGCTCCTACGCGTCGTCGTCTACTACAACTGCCTCGCACCATCTTTTGCTCACTCGAAGATAAAGTCCGACAAATTCTTGAAAACCAAGCAGAGGGGCGGCGGGGAATCTTCTTGTCGGAGAAACTCTCGTCACGTTACAATCTGCAAAACACGATCCATCCTCCACCTCTCTCTCTCTCTCTCTGATCTGCCCTTGAATCTTGAGATACAGAAAAGATAAAAAACACACACACACAATATACACACCTCTCCCCCCCCCCTTCCCCCCCTATCTTTTGCACTCTGTAATAAACCCATCGAAATCTTGTGTGACGATGAATCCTAACCTTAACAATCCCTCGGGAATTCACCATCATCATCAACAAACTTCTCACTCGGTCTCTCAACTGCAACCCTCTATCCATCACCTCCACAGTCATACCCACCTTCCCCCCGCTCACACCCACCCATCTCAGGCACATCTTCCTCATCAGTCTCAACAGCATCACCATCCCTCAGACCCCACTCCAATCCGTGATCAGATCGACCGCCAACAGCAAAATCGATCCAACATCGAACAATACAAGAGTTCTGCCATTCCTGCCTATGAAGGCTACATCGGCAGTACCCATGATGCACTCATCATCTTTAGTGGCTGCTATCTGGGTGAATTCCCCATGGTCTCTCGTAGGCTACACGAACGTGAGCGACGCTCTATCCGCTCTGGCTCCGTCTACGTCTTCGATGAGACCAAGGCTGGGATCAAACGCTGGACTGACGGCCGGGTCTGGAGTCCATCTCGAATCCTCAACAATTTTCTGGTCTATCGGGAGATCGACCAAAAACGTCCGACTGCCACCACCAACGCCAGCGGCTCGGGTACCAATCCTCCTAACTCTAACGCTGGAGCTCCTTCAGCCACTTCCACCAACTCGAACCACAAGCATGGCAAAGATAATGGAAGTCAGCCCAAGTCCGGTACCAGCAATCAACCTGCCTCTGCCGGCCCTGCTTCCCACAATCCAACCGGTCCCTCCCAACACTCCACCTCCAACTCTCAGTATAGCTGCCATCATTCAACCAATCCCAGTGGTCAGTCTACTAGTCAGGCTGAGTCCCGCAACTCCAACGAACTTGCATCCTTAGACGTCAAGCCACGCAATTCAAAAGAAGAGAATCAAGAACAAAGCCAAGCTACACCCGGCGAGAATCAAACTCACTCGGCTGTCACTCAACGCCCAATGAATCGTGAACGGGAGCGGTCTCTCGTGGGTAGCTTGACTTCAACCTATAAATTCCGCCCGGACGGTTTGGTGAAGAAGACCATCAGTATTGCCGGGATGCACATGATAAGCTATTATAAGCTGGATGACGTAGTGTCCGGTCGATTACGTGCTCCTACATCCCATGCGTCACTACTCCGCATGCAGATCGTCGGCCACTTGCTCAACCCAGGCTTTTTCAGGGCCCCACCAAACTGGGGTATCTCCAACGGGCGTTTTTGGATCCAGGAAGAAGGTCCCGAGGATTCCTCACAGATGATGAACTCTGTCACCTCTAGCGCTCCATCAATTCATAGTGCTCACCGACCGGGGGCTTTGGCCTTGCCCGCCTCCGGATCGACTTCGTCTAATCCTCCTCAAGGGATCCGCCCATCACATCCCCCAGCTCGTCCCAGTGCTTCAGAGAGAATCTCGTCTTCTGCGCTCTCTCGGCCCGGCTCATCCGCTAGCTCGACTGGCTCACCGAATGCGACATCACCCACATCATCTCATTCCTTTCTCCTTCTATCCACCTCCAATCTGAGCAACCCAGGTGCGACGCCCAGCAGTCCGGTTATCAACACCGTCGGAGGTCGACCCAACTTTCCTCGCGTTCACAATAGCACCAATACATCCACAGCATCGGGCTCGGGTCACCTTGGCCGGCCGTCGATCATGAGTGGTGCCTCCGCGAACCGATACGAGCCTTACCCGCCAGCTGCCCGCTCTCCACCTCTTTCTGCTTCATCTACGACCAACACCAGTACTCTGGCTGATCAGCAAACTTCAGTACAGTATTTTAGCTCAAATCATACCTCGGTTGGTCTTAATGGTTATTCAACACACTCCTTCCTTTCTGACTCCCACTCGGCGCCACTCGTTGGCTCGGATCGACCATCAGCCAATAATCGAAACGCTCACAATGATTCATCAGGTTAGTGATTTCACATCATGCAGCCCTCTTTTGATCGGTATAAACTTGAACTTTTGAGCTCTGACTAAATTGAGTTGGATGCTTGATTATCTCAGCTGCTCATGACGGTCGCAGTCTGGAGTCCGTTGGTCAAGTTAGTGGCTATGATGATTCAGGAGTAAGTTAACGGTCAAAAAAAAAACGCCAGCTGGCCAGTGTTAGTTCCCGTGAGAATCTACCGATAGCTAATTAATCTCTTCAATCTACCGTAGGGTTACAGATCCGGCACATCAACTAGTGGTGGGGGTGAATCCCTTTACTCCCAGTATGCTGTCACCGATCCAGCCAACAACTCGAGCCGATCTGCATCGGTCCCCCCGTCTTCTTATGGATTGCCATCGATCAATAGACTGGGCGCTAGCGGCCAACCGGCTTCTTCCTCGGCAAGCACAGGCGCGCGAGGGATAGGCGATTATCAATTCACAGGCTCACCCAGCCAGCCCCAGACCAACAGATTATCACCATCGACTGGCAGCCACGGGGGGAGCTACGGTGGCTACCTTGCGCCGCCGATGCCGGAGAATACATTCCGGACGACCAGCGGCGGGTCTGGTCTGGCAGAGCGCGAAAACAACACCTACGGCTCATCGTCCCACTCGATAAACTCAATCACCAACACTTCCGGGCAAGCCTCCTCCGCCGCTGGTGCACAGTCCGCCTCATTCCTCTATCCCTCAACATCGACCAGCCCAAGCTCGGGCTATTCTTTCAACAACCCCGCCCGTCGTGGGTCTGCCATGGCTACTCTATCCGGCGATATCAATAATGGTAGTGCTGATTCTACACGGGATGGTGCGAGGATCAACAGTCAGAACAGGACTAATGGTAGTAGTTTGCAAATGAACGAGAATGGCGGCAACGGAGGTGAGTAGTCTTCTTTCGGCCGCATTATTCCTTGGCCCCTCATCTTATTTGTACCAAAGAGGAAATTATCTTGGCTGATCTTGCTCCCTTCCTCTCCCTAGCAGCTTCACATTGGGGTCAAATCAGTCCCTCACACGTGATGAAAAAGGAAGAAGGCGCTGGTGGATGAGTTGGTTCCTTCTCAGTCCCCTGGTCTCCTCATCGGTCCCCGACGGTCGAGCTAGCTCGTCCAAGCACCTTATATTTTTCTATCTACATCTCTTGCTACCTTCAAATCGTATTTCTTTCCGGCTCTACCCATTTTTCTTTCCCCACCCTTCTTCCCAGCAACCATATCCCTATATCCTCACTCGACCCAACTCAAGCAGGTTTTTTCTTTTTTCTTTTTCTTCTTTTTCCCTCTTCCCCTCCTAATAATGATGATTTGTCAAATTTTTCTTGAATAATAAAACGGGCATAAAATAAATGATGAAGATCGCCTTTTAGCTTACACTACTCTTATGCTTATTTTATCTCTTACCACCAGGTATTATTATTATTACTGTTATTATTACATAGCTTGGTCTTAATCCCACTATCTTTCTCAAAATTGTCCTTTCACAAAACCACAAAACAGATCCAGCCTTATATACACACACACCTATATATATATATATCCACATGGCCGTTTTTTTTTTTTTTTTTTTTTTTTTTTTTCTCCTGCGCGCGCCGTACATCTCGTCCGCTGTAAAGTTTTTTTTTCTCGAGGGAGATCCTTCGCCCTTCCCTGAATGGGCGCTCTCATTGTTCTTGTCGTCGTCGAAATAAAGTAATGAGATAGATACATGTACCGAGGGTCCCCTTGCTCACCGGGATCATTTTGCATCGTAGAAGATGTCTGTCTTGGAGGCTGTCCCTTCTTGCAAACCCGGGAACAGATTTGCACATTTAAACCTGAAATGAATACGATGATGCAAGTCTGGATTGTTTGATTTTTTTTATGTATTGAGCGCTCTTGTTTCTCTTTTTTGTCAATGTTTGACTTGTCCTTTTTTTATAACAAAAAGGGGGAAATAATTTTTTTTTGTCTTTTTTTTTGTTTTGACGGTGAATGAGAGCAACTTTCATTCAATTCTTGAAGAAAAGAGGAGATTCCTATGCGATCACGTTGTGAGATTCATAAGAATCGATGATCGAATTCCTGCTGGCACAGAAACCAGTGGAGACGTACCACCACCAGCCTTTGGGTTAGAAACATTTTGTGAAGGCGTTTGCCAACAAGCGTTGTTACATATTCTATGTATGCTGATGGGAAATGACATTAGTGATAGGAGGGAATAGCTAATATGACAAACGACAGAACAGGTAGTAGGACAAACGACTGGACAATTAACAGTTTACTTTACACATGCGAAACAGAAACATATACAAGCAGTCCCCCCTAAGCCGTTCATTGAAATTGAAAGCAGTGAGAGTGAACAGTGATTGGACTGATACTCTAGCATCTAGGGGGTATTGTGGTCTAAAAACTTGATGATGGAACGTGGAACATAGTCTAACGGCTACATCGACTGAGGTTAATAGATGTACTTGAAATCCGGATGTTGGTCGCCGAGATGGTCCCAGGCTTGGGCAGATGCAAGGTCCTGTTTGCTCGGGCGATCCTCCGGCTCGAGCTTGGCTTCATCGAAAGCCTTGCCTCCCTCAAGCGGACCAAACTTTTCGAGAATCTCGTTTCTTCTGGCTACTTTCCTTTTCTGGGCGTGACTGAGCCACAATGTGTTTAATATAGAGCAGGCGATGATTAACACTCCACTGCGATTGATGCCGGACAAGGTCAAAATTCATCAGTTGGATTACAATCGATGAGTTATTTGCTAAGCGTTCGTGGCGAAATATGACAGCATGCCTGACTCACAAAAATAGATTGATTGCGGTCGGAAGGCTGTATCGCGGCTTGTGCCCCAAGACGAAAATCTACACTCCACCCGAGGGTCGAAGATGGTGGGGGAAAAGTGGGTTGCGGTTAGGCCAAGAGTTCTTCAAGAGGAAAGCAGCAAGAGACAGACTTGCCCAAACGCTGAAGAGTCCCCCCGAGTTTCCGACCATGGTGCCCAAGGCGAGTGCGGTAGCTTTTCGCATATGTGGGGCACTGTTGTCGGCCGTCCAAGCCGACAAGCTTGGTGAGACGCCATAGGCTCCCGGGACCGACAAGAACAGGGACCCGTACCTCACTTGCTCGTGGCCTGACGCGTAGAAGATTGCAAAGCCGACAATCGAAAGGACGGCGCTGATGCTACACGCGAGTCCCCGAGCTTGACGCGCATCGGACCAGTACGATATCCCTAGTAGGAAGATTAACGCAACTCCAAAGGGTGGGACTGTGTTTTTGGATCGTAATGAGAGACATGAGTCATTGGTTTCATCACGTTGGCATCTGTGGCTCGACGAGATGCTGCACATACCTGAGAACAACTGAGTGGCTGATGGTGAGTAACCGAACTGTTCCTCGCAAGCTTTGAGTCAGTTAGGGAGTCTTTGTGGAGCAGAATCACTTCCGAAAAAAAGAAGAAAAAAAACTGACGGAATTGACAACTGCAACAAGGATGCAAACAATTCTAATTCAGCTGGAAGGTCGACAGGTTTAAAGGCAGAGAACACAGTATGTTGTGGGACTGACTGGTAGGTGTAAAATACGCCAGACTATAGATGTTCCCCGCACATGCGAATTGTGCTACATTCAAGAGAATCACGTGCGGGCTTTTGCACGCTTCCCAGACCTGGGTCATGGTTGACTTGGCGGGGTACTGGTGGCTTGAAAGGTCCGGATCTGATGCAATGGCATTGGAGCCGGTCGTCGAGGCCGCCTCCAGTCTCAATATGAGCAGCCTAGACAGACCCAAGAAAAGATAGAACTTCTCTTTTAGAGGCTTTTTCTAATTTCTCACTCTAGCACTCTATGTGTGGGTTATTATCAACCCATGATTACTCACGTTTTTTCTTCTTCAGTCAGAATTCTTACCGTCTCAATACGCGCAGGCAGAATGAAAAACCCAATGACTCCACAAACAGCGGTGACAAATCCTTCGATCTGCCAGTGATATTTCCGGTCAAAGTGAATGAGGTTGTGAATTAAGTATGTACTCGAGATTCGGTATTTCTGGCAGGGCTGAGTGATTGTGTGCCAGCTCTTTGGAGACCTACCAGGAAAACCCAAGCCCAACCTGGGTGTCCCCATTGACCGTCGAGCTTGATGATCGCATATGTCAGCAATCCTGAGGCTGCTCCAGCCACACAAATCGTGCCCCAGAATAAGGCGATCCGAAATTGGAGCTCGGTCCTATAACATAGTGATCCCAAGCAACAAGATGAAAATCTGCTCCACTCGAGCAGGCGCTGAAACTCTGAAAGTTTGAGAATTGACGGACCTGGTGTAAAATGAAGATAGGTATAAGATGATGGCTGGATATAGTCCGCCTTCCGTAGCACAACAAAAAAGGTATCAGATTTCATGCACCTTCGGCATTGCCAAATAGTCGAGCTCACCCTCAACCAAGCCCAAGAAGAACCTAAAACAAAAATTGAAAATCAGCGCGGATAAAGATGAAGACTAACTACAAAAGTGCTGACTGACCTAGATACAAGAAGTCCGTGATAGCTGATTGCCACCAAGATTGCCGGAGGTCATGATCAACATCATAGACAGTTGAAGATTTTATGTAGGACCAGACAAATTTGTGCTCACCTGGTAACCAATCCTTGTAGACAAGTCACCAATCCCCAAATTGTGACAATGGCTGGAATCAGGATCCCAGCGCCAATTCTGCGGACCTTTTTGAGTCGCAAGAGAGAATTTCCAAGTGGAAAAGGGGTCGACAAAAGTCAGTCAAGGGAGGCAAAAACACGCCAGCTTTCCGTGTCCGACGAGCGGTTGGATTATCTTCGGCTGTACGTACCAATAGATTGGATGGGAGCTCAATAAGCTTTGTTTCGCAAATGGGAAATCAGCAAGTCTGTCATCCACTTTTAATGTTCAAAAAAGGAGAACAATCTACTCAACTATGTAAGGTCTTCATCAGGCGTTTCAGAAAAAAAGATGAAGGAATTTATCAGACTTCAGCATTAAGATACCATCACAATCGTAGAGATTTCGGACACGGTAGAAAATCTCTAATTACATGAATGTCACAGTCAATGCCATTGAGAACTGATAATCAGTCATGTCAAGATCTCTTTGAAGACCTGGGGAGTGAGGATAAGTCGCGATAGTTAGCCAATCCATCTGCAATCAGTCGCCTCAAAAGGCTTGCAGATGGCTTGAATTCCGCACCAATGATTCGTACATTTCCTGTTTATTGTAAAACAAAAAAAAATGCCATGTCAGTAATTTATGAAGGATTGCTTCGGTCGTATTTTTTCCAGCCAGTCATGACATACCAAGGTTTGATCGATCCAAAAAACTCAAGAAATAGAACAGGCCCAACACAGGAATGAGTCTACAGCCAACAGGCAAGAAGTCAGGACGGCCTCAGAGCCCATGCAACGCGTTGTCCTGGATGGCGGATCCTATGATTGGGAGGTTTACACTGACAAGAGATCCAATTTCAGCAGGGCACGCTTATGCCGCGATGGATTGCTTGGCTGGGGGATGTGAGAACTGTCCTTCAAGTAGTGTGTGGCATTGGAATCCGTCTGCAGGTTTCTGTTTTCCTCGCTCTCCATTTCTGTAAGATGTGTAGGAAGTTGGGCTGGTTGCTGGAACGTCTGTCTACGAAGGGCCCAGGTCTTTATGTGAGTGAGCAGAAGGACTGAAATCAGCACAATCCTGCAAAACTTATCAAGACAAGAATCTCGAGAGTTTGCGGAGCCTGTTCACGCTGATCTGGCTCATGGAATGCAGTCTGGACAATACATAATCTTTCCGCGAAAAAAAAAACCCCAGCCATCAATGAGGCTCCAGTTGACAGGGATCCAGCAGGGTTTTATGTACTTGTATCGGCGATTGGGCCACCGCCAATCTCGGGATCTCTCTATCCTGGGAGCTCTCATCCATTTGAACGCCGGTTTATGTAGTCGAGTCCTTGGCGCGTGCCAATTAACTTTGAATAGTCTCCATGAAATATCTCACTGCAGCTCACTGCACCTTACAATTGTAGCCGCTTTAGTAATGAATCTTAATGAATGAATGCCAGCTCGGAGCTCTCAGCTCCCGCTCGCGGATCGGTCCCGGATGAGCATGCTTGTGAGAGCCTGCTCTTCTTGCTTGGTTGGAATGCGGCTTGCTGTAATTTGATACGTCCAGTGAATGCTGCGTGTTGGGTGGAGTCGATAGTTCTGCTCACCGCTGCTCGGTGTGGCAGTGCGGTGCAGTGTGACATGTGCTCTGGCCGTGTCGGCTAGGTGGACACTCATTGTCTGACAATATATGTATATATTATATTCTCACTCCTAGGAATCAACATCATCATTCATCTTGAGCTCACTCTCCAACAACCTGATCAGAAACACACAATTATGTTAATGTAGAAATTGACCTGCTATGAAGGACCTCTCAGAGCTGGGTGAGAAAAGTTGTCACAGCTGTGAATACTCACTGCTGTTCAATGATACTTTTCTAAAACCATTTTAGCAGGACCTTTTTGGATTGTAGAAAGCCTCTAGAACCACAGTTATGTAGATGAATTGCTAGCTCAGCAGAGGAAAAGAACAGTCCATGAGTCTCAACTGAGCTTGGAAGGGGATGGGCAGAGGAGGATTTCATATTGTTTTTGAGGATTGCACATGACATCTATGTGAACCTGTGATTTGGCAATGATCACACAGTAACTCTCTACTTCATGTACAGTAGCTGAACAGTCCTGATTGGAAGGCTTGTGTTGTGTCAATCATATTTTATGGAAAAGTTTCCAAGAAAATGGTGCGTACAGTGTAGGCACACATAATAAGGGGGTTCATGTACTGCTGATGTTGACCATCAGCAGTTGAACTTTGCTAGACTAGCTGTTTTAAGTTTTATGAGAAAGCAAAAGAGTTTAGTGGGAGGCTCCCCTTTGGAGTCAAAATCCCACATTTAAGGTTCATGAAGTTTGTGCATCAGCAAACAAACCTTGTTCAAGACCAGCAAAGAATTTGCTGCAATGTGAACTGCCCTAATATTAGGGCAGTTCACGTTCTGCAAACCTTGTTAGAATTCCTATCTTAAGGTTTATGGGAAAGCAACCAAGTTTAGTGGGAGGCTCCCTTTTGGAGTCAAAATCCCACAATTAAAGTTCACAAAGTTTGTGCATCAGCAAACAAACCTTGTGCCACATCAGCAGCAGTTTTGGTGCAACATGAACTGCCCTATTTCTTTTTTGGGCTGTGGGACTGTCTGCTGGTCAGCCTAGTTCAGCGGAACTCCAGTTCAGCTCCTGAAATTACAGCCGAGGGGATTCCATCAGGAAGTTGGGACAGTGCAGTCTTGATGGCCAAGAGGTATTCCTCTTGGTAATAAATAATGTACAAGTATTGATATTGGGGAGAAATATCTTGGCAAATTTGGCTGGACAGTCTCTATAGCCAAGAGCAATCCATACTGTTCACCAGATATTTGGGAGAAGCTCTTCCTGAACTCAAGATGTGGTATGAAAGTAATTTATCCATTGCTGTAGAGTGAAAATTTAGCCACAAATCTCCTCCTTTGATCCCTGAGGGAACAGCCTTTTGCCTCCTGTCCCCTTCCTAGAATATTTGAACAAACACATTCTCTCCTTTCCCTCTTCATGTGAACAAATTCCAGAACATTGATTTATGAGAAAGATTGAGTTCTTAAGAATGAATTACATATTCATCCATGAAAGAATTCAAGAGACTAAAATATATTTCTTAATGTTAGATAGTTTTGTTTATAACAATAGTACAAGTGATGTATCAAGGGAGAGACTGGTTTGTACCTAAAAGCAGACAAGGATTTGATGAAGCTTTGTTTAATGATGAAGAAACTTATTGGTGATTAGGATTGTAGATGTCAATACAAATAGGTGAGGGAAATAAGATGAAGGGAAAATATGTGAGGAAGAACAATCAACTATGTTAGTTGATAGCTAAGGCTGTATTGAGTGATTAAGCTTATTTTTTTTAACCATTGGGTTCTTGTAAAGTGACCAAAAATCTAGTAAGTGGGCATTGGAGACGGGTCTGTTTAGTTGTGCTTGATCATTACTTGGTATATTGCAAGTATCTGATTGAAGTCTAAGACTCTAAAGCTTACCAGAACTGTGTATTGAGAATCCTGCTTTGTTGCCTGGTTCTACATTGAGTAAAATGTTGGGTTCTGGCACAGATATACTAAGGTATCAGGTATACTGTAATGACTTGACAGTCTGAGTATGCTTCTTACATATTGATTCAGTATTAGTGATTCTATTGAGAAGGGATGGATCTCTGGGGCTTGACATTTGCTCAAACAAGTAGTTGCTACATAAGACATGTTTCTTGCCATCTATGATTGTACTTGTTCCATTGAGACTGCTGCTTGGACTGACTCTTTGTCAGTCTTTGAGTTTGTATCTGATTGCATTTCATCTGTGATCAAGGAATACTCCTTGTCTGTATGTGATTGAAGTGTTTTTATCAGCTGCAGCCTCATGTTGTTTTTTTTGTTTGTAACTATGGGAAGGGCACTTACCAATTCTCATGGTAGATTTTCAGCACTGTAGTTCAAGTCTTTAGATCTTGTATTGCAACAATCCAGAATCTTAAACTGTTTCTGATTGCAATTTTACAATGAAGAGATGACTACTGTCAATACATTCAGTTATTTACTCACTATCAAAATAAACAACTATCCATTGAGAAAATTTTTCCTGATCTTTTTTGACAGTACAGGATTCTTACTGTCTTGTTCCAAAGGGAGCTAAGTATCAATTTGAGGACCAACACCAGTGTGTCTCCGTGGCGCAATTGGTTAGCGCGTTCGACTGTTAGCGCCGTCGCAATTCCAACTTACAACGCTTCATGCCGGGGTCTCATCGAGAGGTTGACAGTTCAATCCTGTCCGGGGACGACATCTTTTTTGCCTCTTCGCGATGGCAGATGGTACCGAGGGCCCTGATTTATGTGTCCTTATATGAGTTCATACGCTATTGATCTTGCTACAGAGGGTTACCATTTTATCAAAGGCCACATCGAACATAAGAAAAGGTTGCGAAAAACAGATTGCATAAAAGATTCTGAGGCCAAATGAGGAAGTCGTAGAGTGAATGAGAGATAAGTACACTAAACGTATTTACAAAATATCAAGGATTTGCAAAATCACACGCGATATGAACTATTTTCTCAGCCAGTGATAATCAAGCTGAATAGATGCTACAAGATAGACTGAAAAATCGTGAGGCAGATGACGAAATGGTCGGAAAGAGGCTGTGGTGCCCGAGATACATTATGGATGAAAGCCGAATTGCGTGATGAGAGTGAGAAATGGTGATAGAGTGCTTGCTGCAAGACCATGAACATAGGCTATGGTGTTACATGAACGATAAAAAGAGGTCCTCAGTTACCCAAAAGGAGGTAGATATATACACATCAGAGAAAAGTCGCCACTAAAAATTAGTTGAGGCCCGGAGGTTGCCGTACCACGACTTTGCCCTCTTGATGACTGTACTGGTCGAGTTCGAAGCTACCTCGGAGATTCTGATCTTCTTATTATGAGGGCTGTCAGAATCGGGTGACGCGACATGTCTGGTATCCAACCGAATGACGATCGGACTGCAGAGAGGTGTCGATGGGGCTTCCTCACTGTCGGCCGAAGTGGTGCGGGTAGTTATGCACGAAGTGAGTGATGGGGCCTGACGGTCCATCAAGCTGGGCTTCTGACTTGATGGTGTAGGGAGGAACGGAGCACACATGGCCAGAAGGTAGTCTTCCTCAACTCGCAATTCGTAGTCGAGGAGCATCAGTAGTTCTTGTTCCTGAGATTCAAAATACGTAAGCTTTTGTGGCGACTTTAGGATTGAGGCAGATATTGACAAACCATCAAATTCACTTCACTCAGGGTGAAGAGACCACTCCATTTGACCCAATGAATATTGCGGGGGCAGCAGTCGTTGCAATACTTTGCCGCCGCGATGAGACATGCGAGGAATAGTCGATGATATGTGCATTGCATACCCTTAGCGGCTTTGGCGCCTTTCAGTCTTCTGCGCAGGCGATCGAGGTAGACAAGCGTCACAAGCAACGTCGGGGCTTGAGCGTTGGATTGCGAGGCAGTAAGCTTAATGAAAGTGGTTAAGGAAGGGACTTGTGAGCCATTTGAAGCGTCTGGTACGGTAAGAGAGCTCTTTCCAAGTGAATCGGGGGAGAGGGATTGTCGGGAGGTGCGAGATATAGGCAGGCGAAATGAGGCTTTGACTGGAGTACTAGGGGGCGTAGGCAATTGAACAGGATCGTTGGGGGTTGCAACTACAGCCAAAGTTCTCTCGGCGACGTATTCTGAAAGTAAACCGAGGTCAGCGAAGATGAAGAGTGTGAATGCGGTTCAGCATGAAGCCAAGCTCACCGATAAGGTCATCATTCACTGGTGCCTTTAGCAATCCAAGGAGAACCGGGTCGTGCATGTGACGAGGAATCAGGGATGCCGGGTGCCTCCTGAGCATGTTGGCAGGAATGGGGGCCGGGGCAGAAGATCGATCGTCGGAACCAGCCGATGACATGGAGAGAGTGCTCTTGTTCAAAGAAGCGGCCATCGCAAACAGATTTTATTTGGAGATTTATTTAGGTAGGTGGTGTTGTAGGAATGAAAGATGCTTATTGCGGAAAGAGGATCTGATCAGGATCAAGGACAGAGGCCTGACTTGTTAAGTAGTTGTGATAAAAGGTCAGGAGCAAGGAGCGTGGACAATGTTCCTGTAATTAAGTGCAGAGGGAGACGATGTAATGCAGCAGGTTGAGCAGTCGCGAGAAGCTAAGGTTTTTGAGGTTTTGAGAATGGCAGGGAGAGGTTGAGGTAGGTTTGATTGATTGGGTGTAGGGAAGTTTTAATCTAGGAGCCGGCTCGAGGGAAAGGGAGAAAGCCGAAAAGGGAGCACAGAAGGGCAAGTATTTAAGCAAATGGGAAAGGATGTCTGGAAAGGTGGGCGGCAGCCGATCAGAGGGCTTGTGCCCGAGAGGTCAGCGGACCAGGCAATGTTACCAAGCGTCCTAGTGGGCTGGCGCGAGAGGCCCAGGCCACGAAGAAATCCCGTGGTTATGGACGGAGGGAGTCAGAAAGCACCGGCTGTGAGCTTGAGGTGGCAAGATCTTTGAGGCGGTCTGTGTGAAGCTTAGTGGCCTCTGGTCCGGGCAGATTTCGAGTGACTGGAGGGTCGCGATTATTGATAGTATGAAAACTTGAAGGTTGGAAGTAGAGTGCACTGTGCCTTGCTCAAAGAGTCCAGAAATATGGTGATGTCGCGCTAGGAGCCTGGAGTGCCTGGGGATGTTTCTTTCAACTGGCCGATTTGAACGTGAACCGCGTTAGGGCAGGCTCGGGCGAGATGGTGGGTACACAAAGCAGATCAAGCTTCCCTGTTTCCCTCCCCTTAAAGGTGGGCAGGAGTCCGAATATGAAATATCCAGCTTGATGATCGGGCGAAGGGGCTCTTTAGTATAGATCGACGCAACCAATACAGCCCGTAATAGGCAACCGGCGGGTTCTTTGGCGTTCGATTGCATCGCCTGCGTGGTCCTTCCACCATCTTTTGTCGTTGGCAATACTAAGAAACAACTGAGTCCTTGGCTTGGCTTCAAGCCGGAATAGGACTTGGTTGCCCCCAGAGGCACAGCCAGCCACCCGCGGTAGACCGTGCCAGCCAGCCATCCGCTGGAATTGGCGTCCTCTTATCCCATGCTTCTGCATGGAGATGGAAAAATAAATAATTCGTCGACATGGGTACAGTGCGTGCTGACAAGACACACAAATACGTACACCGCGTTGTTGTGTCCATCCACGACCCAGCTGAAGCCAGCTTCAAACCCCCACCCTGGCGGCGTGTTCCTGTGTTCACAATTATTGTGCAACTGCCGGAGTGCCGGTGGCGGGGGCTGCATGTAGAGCTGCGAGCTGCCGCGCTGGCCCATCCGCCAGCCAATTGTGCTGTCCTCGGGGCGGCCGCTGCAAGTCCTCGGAAAGCAAAAGCATTGATTTGAGTGAAAGTTAAACACCTGAATTCGGAGGGTGTCGACCTGACTCATGTTGTCCCACTTTTGAAAAAGTGTCTGCCGACGGGTTGCTGGCTGGCGGAGGGGCGCCATTTTTTTTTCTATGAATCTCAATACTAGAGCATCATCAGTGTTGCATCCACTTACCCACTTATCATTACCACTGGTGTTTTTCTGTCTCACGTTCCATCATTTTTAGAAAGTTCTAGAAGGTCTTGGTTTACAGGGGAACAACTTGGCAAAAGTCAAACTAATTTTGCAAAAAAAAAAAAACCGCCCCTTTGAGCAAAGCACTCAACCCAAACTCAAGGCAAACATGGGTCTGAATCAACTGTGGGCTTGTCTCAAGAAGGCTCTAGTTACCGTCACCATTCGTGTATGAAACTCGAAGCAGGCTTGCATTGCGGACTATGGCGGACTTCGCGATACTCCACCTGACGAAGGCTTTCCCAGCTTCGCCTTCACCCCTTTGATCGTTTGCTTTGTTGATAGTGTTTGTTCCGCAAAACTATATCTTCATTCATTCTCGGACAGGATGGTGTTGCTCCTAAAGAGCCTGTTTTTCTGTGTTGTATTGAACGGAAAAAAAGGCGCCGCCCGACTTGCGCTAGCGAGTGTTTCTAGAGGGACCCATGCAGCACAGGATTTGGCGAGTAAGCATGTCCTCAAGATTTCCTCTTACGCCTCGTCATATTTCATACTCTTTTACTTATGGGGATACTTGTTGTCTAAGCAGTCATACCTAGTGTTGACCTAGAAGGATCTAGCAGTGCCGTTGTGATTAGCAAGCCCATACATCCAAGTACACCAGAACAAATTGCTAGAAAGGAGTATGGTGTTATTCCGGTCGGATTGTCTGAAAGGAAAGGTGAGGTTGACGTTTTTCTGACTTTGTTCTTTTTCTTGCTTATACCAATCTTGCTTAAACCGATGTTCTCATGAAGCTGAGAAGCAAAGGATGGGGAATGAGCGCATGAAATCTCTTCATCAGATTAACTCACTTAATCCAAAAAAGGACAAAGAGTTCACTCTAATCAAATCCCAACTCCAACAGATTTATTACGTCCTGAAGACACCAACTCTAGATCGGGTTTTTCGGCTGAGTGGATTGAACCCGCCCATCAATTCCCTTCTTCTCAAATCAAATACGGGAAAGATTCGTGGATTCCTGGAAAATGTGTTCCATTTGATGAGGCTAGACCCTTTTTTCAAATCGCAAACCAAGAAATATAATGAATTTTTATCCATCGCATCGCCTTTTCTTTTGGGTGAGAAGGTGCTGGGACCAGCGATACGGCGAATTACGACTGACGAACACCTACCCCAGAGCCCAACTCTCATAGTCGGAGGAGCCAATGAACTTGAGAATGCCGAGTCTCACAGTCTGTCCGGGGTCCCCCACAATGTTCAAGCTGGTGCGGTCAAAGATAGCACCTTCAATGCTAAGGATCCAATCTCGTACGCTCAACATGAAATTCACCTTGCATCTTTCCCTGTGGACAAGAGGTCCTCCAATACGCCTACTTCTATTTCCCATCAAAAATACTTGCCAGAAACCGTACCCACCATGTCGCCTAGTCAAGAAGGATCACTACTTCTACCCAACGGAAAAGGAATTCCAAGTGGAAATTCACAGATTCAAAGTAGCAGAACTGGTATGCTACACGGTGATGTGTTTGGCATTGTAAAAGACAAGATCATCGAGGAGCCAATCACAATTTGGAAATTCTTACAAGACAAGCTTATTTCTTTGTCAAAAAAAGATTCGCTTATCAAACAAAAAAATTGCACCTTCCAGCTCGCTTTTTTGAAATCTTTTTTTCAACTGGGAGACTACATCTTCAGATATGGACTACTACCCTCAACTTTTATCGACAGCATTGAGATCTTCAAGCCTAAAATTCTACAGGAGATGGTCAAGTTTCACATTGACATCCTGTTTCTCAAGTATGGACGAAGATTTTTTGTCGCACAAGACTCGGTGGTTCCTCAAATAGAATTTTTAACAAACGGCTTGGCTGTGGAGCACTTTCACAGATCCATAAGAGGTATGTGTATCTCATCAGAATGCAAAAAAGCTGGTTTGACAATCCTGTCTAGCTGCCCGAACATCCCAAGGGCCAACTTTTTTTGGCCCTCTCCCTGATTCCATATAACATTTTTTGCTGACTAATACTGCCTACTTTCGTAAAAGCCCTCTCCGCTGAAGATGAGAAAAATCTTGTCTACCAAGTTCTGAGTACCATCTGGTACCATATGATAAAATGCTTCCCAGGGTCGCAATTGACTCTAGGCTTCACCACAAACGCCGAAACATTTCGCCATGCCGAGTTTCTCAAGCAAGCCGATAGTCTCTCCTCGGCACTGCTTGACGCGCCCGAAATTGAACATATGAACATAATTGATTATACTCCAATCGCTCAACTGGTACGAAGTCTAGTCAACAATTTTCGAACCCCGGACCGGAGAGCAGTCCAAATTCGAATACAATTCCAAATGATATTTTACATTTTGGAGTTCCTTGATCAATACTACAAACCAATTGTGAGGAAAGTACTAGTATGGCCGAATAATTACTCTGATCTCCAAAAGGAACTCAAATTCATGGGCAGTTACTTAAAATTTTTCCGAAATCGGGATCAATACCCCAGCAGTATGTACGAAAATCCAGATATGTACTTTTTGACAGCAAGTGTACAACTCGACGTCTGGATCGCGGGGGTTTTCAAGAACAACAACTGGTTAGAGATCAGAGGAGAGGCCCCAAAAACAAAGTTTAACACGTGGATGGGTAAAATAAAGAGGCCCATTTTTTCATTTTCCTGACTCAAAATACCTACTCCCTTTTTCTTCTCACACCTTTCGAAATGCTGTGTGAGTCAATATTGTTAAGTTCCCAATTCTAGTAAAAATCATGATGGCTTTTCTTATGTTATCACCCTTGAAAAATATCATAAATCAATAGTTCAGGATTTTTTGGAACTATTTTACCTTAGAATGATCCCAGAACCCCCAGCCACAAAGGTGGGCAAGTAAAAAAATCTTAGAGTGGTTCAATTCATACACCAAGGGGCATGTCCAAAGATTTGGGACTTCCAGCATATTTCTTTGAAGGAATAATGGGTATAGATTTGGGTCTTCTGAGAAGTGCCAGTGGACCGCAGTTAGCACAAGATAAGAGTCTTGGGAATCAAGGACTGAGAACTGAAGCAAAGAAGAAACTAATCATCTACTGAGGTGAGACAGAAGAATCGTCTGAATGAGTGAAGAAAGAGGGAAAAGAGAGGAAACACAAAGTTGTATACTGAGGAATCTAGGTACAACATGTAAACCCAATCTACATGATAGAAACAAGATTCTGCAGTCATCCACCTCTCATGACCTCTAACCTTCTTGATAGTTGTGTGTCTTCTGACACATTGCTATACTGTCACATCTTCTTCTACCTAATCAAGGTCATACCCAGTACAAAATAGCTTTAAACAGTAGTTTTCATGTTATTACAACCAGATATACATATGCTACATAACCCTTTATCTTGTATGCAGTTCATAACATTATAAAATAGTAGTTTTTACACTCATCTGGCTACATAATATATGGTACTGCATAGCTACAACATACTAAATATCACACATCCCAAGATACAAATACAGTTGCACACAGATTGAAGCCTCTTCTTGGACTTCAGCAGCTTGGAATGTAGGTGATTTATAGTAAATTTTTAAGCAAGAAAAGAACAACTGATCCAATTCTTCCTTCTATTTATTTATATTTGTAGGGTAGGAATGGAAAGTAAATCAGAGAATGCTCAACGACTGTGTCGACGTAAACTAACAAGAAAAACACTTCTGATGAATCAAACAAAAACAAAAAGAAGAAACCAAATTGCCCCAACAAGGCCAAAACTCAAGCCAAAAAGAAGAAGCCAAGACAACTCCAATAATCCGATAGAAGTCCTATTCCAATGGAGATGAGCATGACAATCCAATTTTTATTGGAAGCAATGGCGAAGAAAGTGAAAATGAAATAAAAAGGCTTCAGCAGTGTGAAATTGAAGAAAGAAACAAAGCAAATGACAATATTAACCTCCTGCATGGCTCTCTGGATGATAATGACTCCTCCAATGAGGATTTGGATGTGGATGAGCCTCTTCCATCTCTATGGCCAGGTTTTAAAATTCAACTATATCTCATTGCGGAAAATCCAACCAGATGTATCTTAAAATCTGCGAAAATAGGTTACAAAAACCTACCGAAAGCTTTAATCCAGATTCAAGCTTGTTAGTTCTGGACAAGGTTCCTCATCAAAATAGGCACAATCAAAAGAAGAAGAATGTCCAAGTGCTTGGTAAACACAACAAAATCATGTCTAGCTGGCTGAAACAAGCCAATCCGGATCACAACTCCTCTGATCCTCCTAGTGAAACTGTTCCTCCAAATCAGCTGCTGCTGCCTACAAAAAGAAAGTTTCTCAAGACACAAACTTTGGGTAACCCAAGGCCACAATTTAAAATCTCAACAAGTTCAATCACTTCGAAAGACAATATTGACTTGATGGTACTAAGAGCCCTTCTTGGACTGCTTCTGTGTTAACTGCCAAGTCATCAATCTGGAAATGTTCAATAATCAAAGATAATCACCACAAAACTTTGAGTGGAATTTAATTAGCAAGGAAAATAGCAAAGCAGGCAAGGTACATAGTGAATAATAAAGAAATTCTCCCTACAAAAGGTGGAAACCAAACAAACCATAAATCTCTCATAAATGGTGTTGAAATCCATCAAGCATTACTCACTTGGGCTGCCTCTCAAGTACCGGGTGAAGTAAGTTCAATTGATACATTTCTTTGATGTATTTATGTGCATTCAGTTGAATGGTCTTCATCATTGCAGGTCAATACCAGTACATTCAAAGAATACACCATCAACAGCACTATCACTTGTTGGATGTTAAAACTAGGCTTCAGTCCTCAGGAATACCGGAAATCACTGTACTTTGATGGCCACGTACGCCCCAATGTTGTGATCTGCAGAAAAAAATGTATTGAAAATTACAGGCTTTTTCAAGAGCAATCTCAATTCTATGGAGGGGAAGATTCAGATTTACTGGCTCAAGTCAATCCAGAAGTACTTGGAAACAACAAAGAAACTGTCTTTGTATTTCATTCCAAGTCAACCGTGCATGCAAAGGAGAGGCCCTGCCTTTCTTGGCTCCTTCCAGGTACAAGCAAGATCGAATCAAAAAATGCAGGCCACTGTGAGAACTCCTTTGGGATGGGTTGGCAGTCCTTGAGGGGGAAATAACAATATGATATTTCACTAGGTAATATTACAGTTACGGGTGGTTTGAAAGACCTGCCCCTCTATTTACTACACAAGAATTCTGATAACAATTTATTTCTATTGTTGTGGCGTAACTTTATGATGAAGAAAACTTTATATATGGTATGTAATACAATACAAGATGGTTATACAACCTTTACACGGTGAATATGAGTTGTGAAAACAATTCAGGTGGAATATTTTATGGGGTTTTATGGTTTTATGGTAATCCTGGATAAATAGTGAAATTGATTGGTTGCTGTTGTTGATTTTTTTGTTGTTGTTGCTACTGGTGTTGACTAGTCCTTAATGTTGATGACCACTTGAGATTTCTGTCTGGGAGCTGGGCTGCTGAGTGATCATGGGGGGATTGGTGAAGGAGAGGCCTCCTTATATATTCTTTTCTGAGTTATTTTTGCTGGTGGTGATGCAGTTGAGGTGATTTTGCTGGTGGTGACCTTGTGGGTTGCACTGCCTCCTTAACAGAGTACATGAATTGAGCTAATTATGCTGTGGAAAGAACTAAATATGGTACTGCTGTATGTAAGAATTGCATAAATGGTTGCATTGCCTGGTGGAGGTTTTCTGTCCACATGCATTTATGCAATGTCTGCGTGAATCTAACTAAGTTACTAAGTGGAGGCCTAGTGGTTGCACATATGCATGCAAGAATTGCATTACTTATCTGCATGTTGAGGGTTACAAGGGGACAAACAGCCCAAATTTCACAGTTGACAAACCAGTGACACATCTTGGAGTGAGAATATGATTATGGTTCTTATTCACTAGGGGAGGAAAACTTGTGTGGAAACTGAGTATAGTAGACTATATACAAAGTTGCTAGAGTTATGTTTGAAGCATACTGAATATGGAATACAAGCATAATTCAACACTGCACTACCGGTGGAGGTTTGCTGATGTAATAATTTAGGTGTATGTACTTATGTATATGTGGTAATTTACTATTAAATAATAATTAATGACTAGTTATGGTATGGCTTTAATTTTATATTGGATTATCTTCTAACCTAATGGAGATAGAGGTATAAGATTCTGATTATGCAATAATGTATTCATATATGTAAGTGGTTTAGTTTATAAGGTAGGGGTTCTGGCAGTTTTGTTGCGCACAACAGCCTGGACCACCACACCACTTAATACACATATCCAATTTCATTCTAGAGACAACCAGACAGCTGAAGCTTTTGCCTTGCAATGCCAATTTTTGTCTGTCAGTAAAACAAAAAAGGAAAGAACCCAAATTCAATGATGCACTGGCAATGGTGAAACAGATACAATGCAATACAGTATCTGGAGATACTTTTGTATTGTATCTTTTTTCTGATATTTCAAAAAGTTTGTATTGTGTCTTGTATCTGAAATCAGATACAATTTGAATAGTATTGTATCAAAAAATCACTACATTTTTTGCCCATTTTTGACTGTTTCCAGCAAAAAGTTTGGAAGATACAGAAAGATAAAGTATTGTATCTTTTGTATCTGGCTGTATTTATGACCAGATACAAGTATTTTGATCCATTTGTATAGTATCAGTTTTTGATATGATACAAATACATTATACAATGTATTTGGAGAAAAACAGATACAAATATGAATAAATGCAGATACATGTATTGTATTGGTTTCACCGTTGGATGCAGCTTCTGTTAGTTATCCTGGTGCAAATGGCAACAAGTGGTGGGATATGGAGGAACTGTGTCGCCAAGTTGCTCACAAGGCAGTCCCAATGTTTGAACAGCTCCACCCGAATTCACAAATATTTTGGGAATTTCTCTTTCCTCATCCTTCCACAAAAATTTTCCACTCACCTTTCTTGTGTACACTGCTCTCAATTGGAATTGATTGTATGATAATGAACTTATCTCTGAGCTTGACAAGTTCTCAAACTGGGCCTGAAGTTTTTGAGTCATGAACTGAACCCCTAAATGGGCCACTCATTCTCCACCCTACCCAAGTCTTTGTGTTGGGATTTCAGCCTCCTCAAATTATTATTTTCAAGAAGACAGAGGGAACAGCAAAGGAGATCTCATTGGAGCAGATCAGGTGGCAAAAAACAAAGAACCAATGTTTTTATTCCTTGTATCTAGACTGGTTTTGAGTACACAAGTGCAGGCAAGCCAACTTTTGGTTGGGAGAAAAATTAATAATGAATATAATGAGATGGAACAATCAGCAAAGAGAAATGGAAAAAATGAGCTTTGATATAGAGACTGAGTCGTGGAATCTTAGCTACTTAGTACTACTACAGCCTAAAGGGAATCTAATTCTACAAGCATGTGCCAATTCAACCAAAAACAAGCTACTCATCTATGCATATCCTAGTCCATATTAGATTCTATAGATAAATTTTAATCAGAAAGAGAAAAAGAGTGGTAGATTTTAGGGATGAATGGAAAGAGCACAGAATTTCAACACCTTGCCTTCTGGAGGCTGGGAGGGACATAGTTATGGTGGATGTTCTTATATAAATGTATGCAGGCAAATAGCTGTTGATGCATCCGTCAACAAAACAACTGACAGCAGTGTAAACACCAAGAGCTAGGACCTCTCCCCATGGTCAATTCCCTGTTGCTGCGGCCTGATTTGCCATCCACTTCTGGTGGCCGCAGTCACTGCGGAGGTGACAAATCAGGCGGGAATGAATTCCAAATGTCCGGAGCTTGTATCATGACACCACGGACAATTGCATGTCGCTCCCGCGCGGAGCGACATCTGGGGGTTTCATTGGGGGTTTCGTGCGCAGTGACTGCGCCTACTGCCGCAGTCACGCACGCGGATTCGTCAAGGTGACGGTTACATCCACGGCGACACGCAAATGACCGTGGTGTGACAAGACAACGTGGCCGAGCGGTTAAGGCGATTGACTAGAATCTGTTCTAAGGCATCATTGTCTACCATCAATTGGAGTTTCTCCGCGTAGGTTCAAATCCTGCCGTTGTCGAATTTTTAGAGGTTGTGCGTAACGTTCCGGTCAATTCCAGCTGCTTTTGATGACGATCAAGGCAAACTTGAATTTGACAAGGGGCACAGTTTTTGTAACTACTGCAACGCACATGTAGGAATTCAACCAACAAAGAGTAATCTATACAGTCTTGTCCTAGTTCCAATGGCTGTCCGGAAGTTAGGATGGTGAATACATGACACGAAACAACAGGTCTACAATCGTACTCTACTGAATTATGGACAGAGCTGTGATACTAACGAAGTCCGTGATGATTGATTATGTTGCAGCATTACAATAGCACAATTTGTTCTTTTGTGACGAGATGAGGATACAATTGAACATGGAGACGAAAAATTAGGATTCTAAGATTTTCTCGCCCGGATGGATCAGATGAAGATGAGGCCGAGACAAGAGGTTGAGGTGATCAATCAGCTTCCAAATCATCGACTGAACTCAAGGCCGGGTTGGAATCCCGAGTTTCGATCGGTAATTTGCACATCAACAGAGCAGCCAAAATGAATACTATAACGGTCATCCATAGGGCGGCTTGGAGGTTCCAGATCTTCATTAAGAAGCCCACAATTAATGGCCCGACCATGCCCGATAATCTGCTTAATGCTGATGCAATCCCATAGCCTGTACCCCTGATGGAGGATGGAAATACTTCCGGAGTATAACCTGTTTTGGTTAACAAACAGAAGAAAAACATCAGCCTTGTACTATAAGACCTTTTTTTGCTTCATTCTCTGCTAACTAGATGAGGGAGTTTTTCTCACCATAGATGACAGCGTCTAGATCGCCCAATTTGTTTTTGAATGGCATTTGAAAATGAATCAGGTGGATTTCAGTATGATTAACTGAAAAAGAATATGATAATGACAGAAAGATAAATTCACTGATCACTGACACATGATTGTTGCCATTACAGCAATTAACATGCTACTAATTTTGATTCCAATGTCACTTTGGATTTTCAGAAACGCAAGAATGCCCAATGAAGTACCCAAAGCACTTATGACCATTGTATTTTTTCGACCCAGCCTAGTTTCGATCATCCAAGAGGCCAGCAAACTAGCTGGACATCTTTTTGCCAGTGAGGAGGGAGACAAACGAAACAAGTGAATCATTCAATATTTGCTGCCGGTTTTTGGATCTCTCAAATTGGTATCTAGTTCAACTAACCCAGCTATTGTATAAAACAAATACTCCTTCAAGGTCTCTTCTATATCGCTCTTTTCTGGATGCCGTTTCTCGAGGTAAGCTGGTAGAAATACGTTGAATGAAGTGCTATACAAGATTTTTTTTTGTGAGGTCAGTCAAAGAGAATTTGCAATTGTCCTGTTCGAACATAAGACAGATTAGCTCACTAAGCAAATGAGACTACTGTCCAAATTGCCCAAACTAAGAGTGTCGTGACTTTTAATTCTGGGGTCATTAGCAGTCCAACCCGATATGTCAAGTTATGAATGCCTCGTGTGATTGACGCCTTCCAACCCACGGATCCGTCTAATAAAGAAGTCTTCGGCCTCGGGCGGGGGCTAGTGTCATTTGGTTGTGGACTGTCTCCCAGTGGGCTATATTGATGATGAAAAGCTGAAGCCTCTCCAGGCGAATTGTCTTCTACATCAGCCTCTGTAATCGTCAGACCTGTTCCATTTTGAGCCGAAATGACCTCCAAAACTACAACTGCGTCGGCCGCCCGCCCGTTTGAAATCAAGTACTTTGGTGATTCTTCTATGCTGAACAGTGCCACTCTACAAGCAAACATTATGAAAGTCTGAGGCAAAATATTAAAAATGGTTTTCCAACTTAGCACGCTTCCGATATGATAATTATGTAGTTGATAGGACTCATTTTCACAAGAATCCAGATGGAGTCAATCAAAAAAACGGGGAAACTAGACAGAAAAGGCACTGACGAGTACACCTAGCGTGATCAGCAAGTATCTCCAACCAAGATTATCAACTTCGGAGTTGCACAACAAAGTTTGACCTGGAGGTGGCTCTTTGCAACTAGATCCAGGAAGGATCAATAGCCCCAAAAATGAAGATATGACAGCCCCGAAAGAAAAACTAAATCAAGAAGCAAAAAATAACATTAACAATAAAAGTCACCGATGCATTCACAAAATCCTTTTAGATCACATGTGAAATTTTAACTGACAACACGGAAAGCCCGGTGAGAAGATAGTGGCGCGTTTTCGGAATATTTTCCAGGAATAATGTGCCATCTGTTGGCATTGAGCCGCCAACGCCTATCCCAAGTCCAATCAAGGAGAAGCACAGCCATCCGAAGCTAGGCGCGAAGCCACAGCAAAGTCCAAAGATCGCAGTCATTAGTAATGTTCCATTGAAAGGACCTCGACGACCATACGTATCCGAGTCTGGCAAAATTGAAAGATTTAAGAATAAAAAAGTTCAAAGAACTACTATCAAAAGGCTTCAAGAGGGATAGAGATGAAGCCAGGCATCAAAAAACATTACGCACAGCTCCCCCATATCCATGCCCCAATCATCATTCCAAAGAAGATGGAAGTAGAGAGTAAACCGATCCATCGATCTGTAATCCGAAAATGTACTGAACCGCCATGAGGATCATCAAGCCATCAGCTTCAAATCCAAAGAAAAGCAGGTGAACTTTGAATAAAAAGATCGTCTTTGAAGACTTTGCTATGACGTTCATCTGGTGATGAACTGGCGAGATTCTCCCCATCATTTGCAAGCCAAAAACACCAATTCAACAGACCTTGAACCCTGGGCAAAATCACAGCAACCGATTGAAGCCACATCTATGGGATGAGATTCCGTTCGAACATTTCGCGACATGAATCATTATTTACCGAGAACCAGAGTAGAAATTTCAAGATGAGAGGAGTTGGAAATCAAATCTTTTGCTCTCACGTTGTCACACAGCCATCCAACTAAGAAAACCCCGTTCAACCAATCCCGAAGAACAGATTTTTTTTTAAAAAAAGCAGAAACAAAAGCAAAAAATGAGCATCCATTGACGCAATGAGGCCATACATAAACTCAAAATAAACCTGCAATTCTGAACTTACAGCCACATAAGACTCTGGTGATCAAATGCGAATAGTTGAGGTCGAGATTTTCACATGAGTTTAAATAGAACAACAAAGGGAAGTCAGATTCAAGCTCAACGATGTTAATCAATCCTCAGTATCACATGTGCGGCACATTCATATCATTCTTTGCAGGTCACGTTTTCCTTTTCTTTAATATCAATGAGAATCATTGGTCATGATTTAGTATACACATGTTGATCAAAGTAGACAACAATGTCAGGAATCTTATCAAGTATTGTTGGAAAACGGTCGGCGAGTAATTATGTGGAGAGCGGTCACACGTAATACGAGAAGGAAGATAACTTCGAAAAAAAGCAACTTGTGATAGTGGGAAATGAATGACTGTTACACGTACAATAGTTTCCATTGGTATGGGCCCATCCCGACCTTCTCTAGGGTCAAATCGAGCGGAGTCATCGCAGAACCCATTTCGAGAACTTGACAGTATTTGATTGGACGGCGACGGGGTTCAGACCGTTGTGTTTTGGGTAGCGTGCCTTTTGTTCTATGATCTGTTTGTTTCTTTTCCTCATTCGTCGCAAGCTGGTGGTAATTCTTGAGGATGTTGGTGGTGTAGTGATTGGGTGGATTATAGGGAAACGAGTATGAGCGGAGAAGGCAGTGGGTGCATACACTCAGACGAGCTGTGCTACACAAGTACATACTCCATACATAGCCACACGGCTGGGTTGCCATCTATGCGGGTACCGGGGGGCCATCTGGGGTTCCGTTAGGGGTTCGATGATTTTTCTCAGGGTTACGTCATACCGCGAGCTTTGTGCCAACCGGCTTGTTCACTTTAACAGGCAAGCAAAACAACCGAGGAAACCGGATCAACCAAGAAGCAATACAGTACATAGTGCTGGCTCCAAGGTGAGTTTAATCAGATGTCCATATGGCTGAGTCTAGATAACTAAATTGGTTGTCTTGCCACATGGCATCAGTATAGTCTTGAGTAGATGGAGACCTTCTTCCTGATGATCATGATTCAATTGCATACTGAGTAGAAGATCCATTTTCTTGAATACTTGATGACTGAATAGTGACAGGGTGATGTGTAATATGTAGGAGCTATCTCTACTTCAACAAGAATTTGACATAGATGTAAAGAATATGGTGTAACTTTGAAACTTTTGTCAAACTTTTGTACTTGTTACAGAACTGAACTTTCAGTACACTGTTTAAAACTGTAATTCTTGTAAGTTTTTCTTTGCTATGAGAAATAAATATAACAAAATAAGTCTCTTAAGGAGACATAAGAAAAGGTAAATACAACCACTGTTTATAGTCAATGATTCGGAATTTCTAAAAGCAGAATCTCAAGGAATGTATTTTTTTTGGTAACTAAAGAGTGTAACTTTCTACTAGGTAACTATTTATTAACATATCTTTTGATCCACTGTAGAATATGAATCCTTAACAATTGTATATTCTAATTTAAAGGTTCTTTTTATGGAAAATAGAATATCTAAATATTTAAGAGATTTTCTCAGTTTTGTTCACAGAGATTCTGGGTCCAAGTTTGACAATAGATACATTGTCCACAGAATTGATTTGATCTTGGAATTTCTTTCTTGTCTATATTGCCCCATACTATTATGATTATACAAGATAGTAGAAGTTTCTAACTTGGAACAAGTTGCAACCTGCTGCACAAAACTTATTGCAGTGAGACCTACTTGGTATGTACTTTAGCCAAGAGTGAACCTCTAACACACCTTCACAAGCAATTTATCTTGTAAACTTACAAAATCTTCAATTGATTGACAACTGAAAATCTCATATCAATTGAAGTTGATAGACCACTATGATCTTGTCAGCAACATTGCTGTCTACTGTTTTCGATTCGTATTCAAGTGCATACTTCTGTTGGTCATCACTTGGTCCTTGATGAAAGATGTCCTATGGCTGTTTTTGCCTTCAGTTCTTTGAAAGTATTGAAAGCTGTTTAAAGAGAGTAGATATGATCCATCACAGTTCTGTATCACTTGGCAAAGGGCTCCTAATCTATGGTGCAGTCAGCAAGGGGACTTTCCACCACAGCAGTACTGCATGCAAATATTCAAAGTAAAGGAAATAAATAAACATGTGCAGTTTGAGATAGAATACTTGAGAGGTAAAAGAGTGCATCGATCCAAGATCATAGGCCCCATGGGTAAAGTGGATGGAAATTGGATATAAGATTTCTGCAATTTCATTTTTACTATGTTTTGAATAAGTTCAGAAAGTGATTCTCTTGCAACTGCCCACAAGAAAAACAGAAAAACAGTCAGGTAATAACCAGGTGCATATATATTTTGGTAATGAAAAAAAGGAACTGTGTATATATATGGAATACTTAACAGTAGGAAGGTTGAACAATAGGAAGGAGGAAAAATGTTTTATGGTGTGTGTATGTCAATTGTGGAAGTTTATGGTTCCCTATATTTCACCATCTTGTGTTTGTTGACTTTTTTTCTTATGTTTTTCTGTAAGAAAATAGAATAGATAAATAACAATAATAATAATATATATGATAAGAAAAAAAAAACAAAAATAAGAAGAAGAAATCTTCCTCCCTCTAGCCCCTCCTCTTCCCAGACAATGTAAGTATAAAAAGTGGGATAAAATGATAAAATCTATCTAGAAAAATAGAATGAAGAAAATGAAAACAGGGAGGGATTGAAAGATAAAACAAAAATAAAAATTCACAAATATCTTTTTAGAACATTTTGAACTTATAATGCAATGATTAAAACCATTTTGAGGAGGTAAAGAATAGATAAATAGATTATGGATAACGCACTTTTTTCAGAAGGAAGTGTTTTGGAGGGTCTTGATCTTAATCTGCTTTACGAGTCCACTGACGGGGAGAGTTCAAGTTGATAGTCGGAGAGGAAGAGGAGGGTGATTTCGACAAAGGGGAAGATGGTCGACTGGAGCTTGATCTTCGACGAAGTTCATTCAATTCGTACATCGGATCTGACGAGCGATTTTCACTAGAATCGCTCAGCCGAGTGGACGAGTTTCGAGAACCAGCGGGATGAGTGAGGTTTGGGCCGGTCGTGTTGGAAGACTCGTTCCAGTAACTGATGAGTTGAAGTGCGAGGATGCCGTTCAAGATCGAGCCGCAACTGAAGTTGATCAGAAGCGTTAGATCGCCAGTTTCGGTGAGGGTAGTAAATAGTCTGGCCAGACAGCCTAGGAAGGAGCTGAAGATCAAGAAACTTGAGAGTTGTCCGGTCGATTTCTTCTGGAAATTGATCATGATCTGTGGGATCTTAGAGCTCAAGGCTAATGGGATCGAGAGCGTCAAAAGGCCCTGTAGGACGGATGCTGGGACAGGCGAGTTGGGGACTAGGGTGATTCCTAAGAGTAATGCCGGGGTTGAGATGGCCAAGAAGGATAGCAAGCCTGCCTTGGGATATCGTGATGATAGGATGATCAATGTTACTATTATTGTGTTTTGAATCAGAAGCAGGAAACTTTCGCCTAAATAATCAGAGAAGAAGAACAAATTTTACATCAGCTTTTGCTTTTGCTCTTTTGCTCTTTGAAATGGATATAGGAGGGTTATGATGGCGAGCGTCGTATAAGGATAGAATAAGTTTTTTGTTTATTTATTTGATTGGTTTTGTTTTGATAGAAAAAGTGAAGACCTGTGTACTACCATAAGTTGAGAAAGGAAAATCGTGCCGATAGTTATAACAGACGATGATAACCAAGCCGAGAGAGTCGAGGAGGAATCCAGCCAGACTGAGTCCACGGGCCGATCTGGATTGTAAGATTTTGATGATCTGAGGCACTTTGACTATCCCACTTCCGAAGACGATTGCCAAGCTGAGAAATTTAGAGATTCCATATTTCAGACAGTAGATCTCGTCTAGTTGGACGTTATAGATTAGATTTGTGTAGCATTCCGATCCTAGTAGGGCGATTGCTGGTGCGCGAATGAACCTGTAGATGAAAAAAATAATAATATAAGTTGCTGGATTGAATTTAAATGAAGTATATAAATATAATAAAACAAAAACGTACCAAGGGATGTTATGAGTGATGAGATGAAGCCAGGACATGTTGCCGGTAAGCCAAGTGAGGAAGCTGAAAGGAGGAGGTAAGAAGACCTCGTCTGATGATTCACGAGGGACGTAGGACGCCACGTTTTTGCCTCAGTAAGCGTCCCTGAGGTCGGATGAGAGGATGGCTGAGAACGTGAGGGTGGATCGGGACTGGGTGATGGGTTGAGTGGATGTGCTAGGAGGTCTTGTAGTTGGATTGTCGGCCTGTGGGTAGTGCAGCTAGTTGGAGAGAAGCCGTTGTCAAAGTTGAAGTCGGACTGGATGGATGGTGATCGAAGATGAGAGGCTCCTGGGTAGGTCTGCATCTATAGCTCGATCCGAAGGTGTTGACCACCGCTTGAGGATGGATGAGCGAAGAAAGTGGAGCAGTTGAAGGTGAATTGCTCAAGTATCTTTCATCTCTCCCTTCTTGTTGGTTCTTGCTGGGGTTCTTGAAGATCAGGAGGCCAGTTTACATTCCAAAACTCAAAACAAAGATATCTCTCCCCCAAGCCAGCTAACAATCTCCTGATCCCTAAAAAAGAGCATAAAGCCCATACAAATGGACTACCTTTCAGATTTCATGATCCCAAAACCAGGAGGTACACAAGAAAGCAATGACTATTGACCCAGCCCTCATCCCACAGAGCTCTTGTGCCTATAATGATTGAATTCATATGAAGATCAGGATGATTAACTAGTGCTCTGCTACATTTGACATCCATCTCATGGGATCACAATTCAGACAGACAATTAATAAGCAAGAAGAATGATCACAGCTATAACCATCCATGGCCCTGTAAGTCCTTTTATCCCCACTCAAGTCACACACACACAAATGAGGTGATAAAAGCTCTGGATCAGGGCAGGCTCTCCCCCAATATTGGGTTGGAATCCCTGAGTGCCATTTACCAGATTTCCATCCAGAAAGAAAGAAAAAAGTGCTTGATGATCTGTTACACTATGCACCAGCTTTCCAGGGAGAACTCAGCTTAAAGGAAGCTTGTAGCCTATGTGGTAGTTTTCCAGGTAGGGCCCCTACTTGATAAGCTAGCTATCTAGCCAATGGGCCTTCAATGCATGTGGGAAATCTCTGATAGGATTTATGTCTAGGACTGCCCCAAACCCAGCTGGCTTTAGGCTTGCTGCTGGATATCAGGACAAATCAGGTACTATTACTAAAATAATGCCTACTAACTAATGGGATTTGAACCACAGCATTAGAGAAGTGCACTTGTAGAATTGCATGTAAAATGCCACTAGTAAAACACAATATCTTTCAAATCATAAGAGATTGAGCTCAAATAATCTAATGATTATGTAGAGAAAGGGGCAAAAATAAGACAATGGATTAATATTCAATAATTCTTATCAAATTTATATCTGAAGCTGTATAATAATTATAAACCAGGTTGTTTTGAAATAGAAGGTACATACCTTTTTCAACCAAGCATCTAAGAGGATAACCCACAGGACTAATATTCCAAAAACTTATTCAATTCTTGCAGCAAAAGCTGCCAAATATGAGTAGGGTAGTGGGTTGACAAAAGCCATATATTCTCATTGGTTTCTGGTCTCAAAGGTGTAGGAAAAATTCTTTCATGATCCCTTGAGCTGAAAACCCATCAGCAAGACCATCATACCGCAGTTCAAGTATGTATATAAAAATCCATATGTCTTGGCCCAAGAGGAAAGAAAGTATCAGAATACATATTGTTCATCATCCCTTTCCCCTGCTAACAATACAAAAATACCAGTACAAAATCTACAATTTAGAATATCTTTCTCCTACTCTGTTCCCCTCTCAAAGTAATAAATATAGACCAATATCTGTCAATAGGGAATGAGAATAGACCAAATCCACCCAGCACAGTTTCACAGTCTATTATTTGGATAAATGAGAAAGATTATTGATACTCTGGGCATAAATCTACTTGCAGGATGTCTGAGGGAAGCAAACTCAATGACAGGCCATTGGAGATTTTTTAAGAGGATGTTTGAGTGAAGCATGTGAATTTACTTGAATTGGGCCAACATGAGTTGAACTGAGTAATGGTTTAACTTTGGGAGTGCTTTTTTTGTACTCATGACCATTGCTGTCTAAGCACATCTCCAGATACAAGTTCCTTAAGCCAAATAGTGTGAAAGATCTTCTTTTAGTTACAATTACCTGTCTTGACCTATCTCATTTTCCTGTTCTTTTTTTCACTTTTACCAACCTCACATGTTGCAATAGAAATTGGCCCACCTGCAGGTATTTATTTTCCATGAAGGAGGTTGGTAATTTCAAAGAATTCTTTTCCAAAAGTCAAACTGAAAGCGTTTCCAGATATTTGTATGGAAATCTTTTGAGTTCCAGCCAAAGTGGATAGAACGGGTAACCCCGGAGGAATCCCCAGTAGCGGCTCAATCGCCTTCAAGATCCGAAGCTGTCACTTGAAACGGCCAACAAGCCAACCTTTCGATTAAGAGCACACTTCCTCCCACTGCCCCAGCAAGCAATTAGGCTTGGGGAAACAAATTGCTCCACAGACACTAGCATTCACCGTCATGGAACGAAAGAAGCTGCATTCTATCATTGATCAATAAAAATAATAATCTCCCACAGCCATGCTCATCCAGAAGTTAGAGCCGATCAGCAAGTCCGTTGATTATAGTGCGGGTACGCTTGCACAAAGTGCAGGGAGTTAATCTGGCCTATTCGAGGTCTGTTACAGTTACTCTGGGCTATGCACTCAAGGTCTGTTAAGTAGGCGCGAAGAAATCAAATACCAACCCACCCTAACCCATCGTATAGCTCCATGAGAGCTCTCAAGATTTGCGGCGGCTACCAGCGTCGGTAGTACGGACGGATTCAGATCCCCATCAACTGGGCCCAGTGATCCCCGAGTCTTGTGGAAAAGATTATCGTCGACTATTGAACCAGCGTGGATTGGTTCCGCAACTCATCACATTCTTGGCGGTAAGGTTGCCAGGATTGTGGCCTTCTGTCACCAGTAAAAGCTCCTGTGCCCTTGGTTCAAAAATTTTCAACACCTAGCTATCCAGACTTCCTCAATTATCTAGAATGGAATTCCAGAGAGACACGAATCCGCAGACGGATACCGAAGCCTCACGCTACCTGAAGGAATACTATTGCCACACCCAACCTCAGGCCAGCACTCAGTCGCAAGAAAAGCGCGCCCTACTCAAATTAGATCTCTTGTAAGTGAAACTCCCACTCAGAGCTGCGCTATCGAGCGCAACGCTTTTCATCCATTCATGAGCACGGTCTAATTTGCTTATTATCGCGTGCAGATTGATCCCGATCTTAGGCCTGTTCTTCTTCTTGAGTTTTTTGGATCGCTCGAATCTTGGTGGGCCGATTTTGTGATGGGTGACTAAGATGACTTACAAATCACTAACATTCCATTAAAAAAACCAATAACAGGAAATGTGCGAATCATTGGTGCGGAGTTAAATTCATCTAACAACCTTTCAACGCGATGAAGTGTAGATTTGTAGGCTAACTGTCGCCTTCACATTCTGAAACCCCAGGTCTTCAAAAAGATCTGGATATGAGCGATTATGATTTCACCATGGCATTGACTGTGACATTTATGTGATGAGCCTTTCCATATTTTCCTCTCAAATACAGCTAAAAATCTGATGGTTGCAACCACGCACCTTTCCCCTCCTCCTTTCCCGAATGAACTCAAGACCTTACATAGTTCAGTTGATCCTTCCATTGAAAATCAAAAGCGAAGGACATGCTCACTGATTTCCATTTTTCATACATAGCTTATCGAGCTCCCGTCAAATTTACTGGTTTGTGTCTGACCAATTCCTCTTTGATTTTCCTTGGCTTAGATCTGATTATTATTTTTTGAATTCTGAAGGTACGCAAGATCGGCGCTGGGAGATTAATCCCAATGATTGTCGCAACTTGGGGATTGGTAACTTGTTTACAAGGCTTGGTTACCAGGTAAGCCCGAGTTCCTTTCAAATAGGGCTCAATTCCCACAGAAGCTTATGACCTTCGGAACTCTTATTGGGAATCAGTTATCGGGGACTTCTTGTAGCCAGGTCAGTCAGCACTTTTTGTCACAAATTGGTTATTGTGGAAAGAAGAAGTAAGCAAAAAAAAACTGATCTTCATCCTGTGCTCGTCTTAAATTCTACTTTAGGTTCTTCTTGGGGCTAGTTGAGGGTGAGTTCAAATATTAGCAATGACGCTCGAACTTGAATTTTGATATGCTTTTTCTACACCATTCAAGGCGGACTATATCCAGCTATTGTACTATATCTATCAACATTTTACACCAGGTCCGTAATCACCAAGCCTGCTCTCAATGACTAGTCGAGTAAGAAATTTTTCTATCATATGTTTGTGGAATCTTAGGACCGAGTTACAATTTCGGATCGCCTTGTTCTGGGGTACAATTTGTATATCTGGGGCCGCGTCAGGGTTGCTGACATACGCGATCATCGAGCTGCACGGTCGTTGGGGACACCCAGGCTGGGCTTGGGTTTTTCTGGTAAGTCTCTACTATCTGGTACATACTCAGTGTTGGAAGAGAAACGCATTTCAGTGAGCTCACCATTCCCTTCGCCCCAAAATGATTTGCACTGGAAGATTGAAGGTTTTGTTACAGTGATTTGCGGTGTTATTGGATTCTTTATTCTGCCATCAAGCATCGAGAAGGTAAAGATTTTGACGGAAGCAGAAAAAGCGTGAGCATCCGTTGGTTGTTACTCTTGCTTAATTAATTCATCCAGAGTGCAAAAGAATTCAAAACCGAGTATCATAACGCTTCTCATGAAAATCAAATCTTTGTTTGCAACTGTTTAGCTTATTGAGATCGAGATTAGAGGCAGCTTCGTCGACCGGTTCCAATGTCTTTTCTTCCGACATTTCGAGTCAGCATTACCCTAACAAGTCAACTATGCTTCAAGTCTGGGAAGCTTGCATAAGCCCCCACGTGTTTTTCTTGAATATAGCACAATTTGCATGTGCTGGTAACATCAATAGCCTGGCCTATTTTACACCTACCAGTGAGTCAATTCTTTTAGCGTTCTTTGAGCGATCTCTTCAAACCTGCTGAACCCTTTATTTTAAAATTATTCAAATCTTTGTACTGTAGTTGTCAATTCGGTTAGTTTCTATTCAAAAGTCGCAGTGATATTAAGTTCCCTAGCTGACCCAAAGCTCATTTTCACCAGTTTGGCTATTCTCCATCAACCACTCAGCTGTTCTCAGGTATAGCATGAAGTGTCTCTTCAAACGTATAACTTCAACTTCATGGAACTAATACTTCTTATTACAACGTAAATCACAGTTCCACCCTTTGCTGTTGCTTTTGTTTTCGTACTGGGCCTATCATACTGGTCAGATCGGCGTCAAGCTCGGGGTCTGGCATGCGGAATCAGCTCGGTAATTGCAATCACCGGGTTTGCAGTCTTTTACGCTTCAGGCCACGATAAAGTGAGGTATGGTTCCCTTTTCTTATCGGTCCCTGGAGCATATGGCGCATCGCCAAGCCTCTCGGCCTGGACGGCAGACAACAGTGCACCTCACATGCGGAAAGCAACCGCACTCGCCTTGGGGACCATGGTGGCCAACTCTGGTGGTCTATTTTGCGTTTGGGCAAGTCTTCTCTTGTCTTTTTCAGTGAGGCAGATTACGGGGTCTGACTTGAAAGCTTTTTTCTATGCTGCTTCAATCATCTGGTGGTGTTTAGATCTTCACATTGGGGCATAAGCCAAGATACAGTCTCCCAACTGCAATCAATCTATTTCTGTAAGTCAGAAATTCCATTGTGAATCCTTCATAAGAAATTCGTATATCAAAAGCCACCAACTGACAAATTTTTGAGCAAACAGAGCAGGCCTAATAATTGTCTGCGCAATACTGAACACAATTTGGCTTGCTCATGCCCAAAAAAGGAAAGTTGCCAGAAGGACCAAAATCCTTGAAAAGTTTGGTCTTGACACAAGCGAGAAGTTTGATACAGGAAAGGCCAAGCAACATAATTACCCAAGCAATCAGGACCTGGCATCTGCCCAAGCTTGGGACCATCTGGGTGACCAACATCCAGACTTCAAATACATATATTAATTTCAGTTGTTGCAACTTGTTCAGCTGTTGGACTTTATTCCTAATTCCACACTTTACTCCTTCTTCCATTTATTGTATTTGTATGTAGTTTGTGTGATTCAATTAAAATTTATGGGAAACAGATTGGTGAGAAACAATGTAAAAATGGCTGCAGAGTAGCTCAAAAGTACTTATTCTTAAACACAGGAAGTTATTTTGAACCAGATGATATTCCTCCTTGCTCCCCCAGTTTTTTGAGCAGATCATCAGTCAAGAATTTCCATGTCAGTCAAGGAACACTGAGAGCTTACAGATTTGATGATAATGTATGGAGTGATTTTTTCTTTTTTTTGGTAACAACAAAACATAAACTTTTCAGTCAATCATTTGACAAGTTTTATTGTTTTCATTAACCTGTCCAATTTCCAATTTCCATGGCCTACATATGTACACCCCTGACATCCACAATGTGGCCGCTGATTTTGCAAATAGCCATCCCAGAGAACAGGTTTAGTCGCCCCAAGCTGACACAAAAAAGAACCAATGTCCCGACAGGAGTGAGGTTTGAACTCACGCTCACAAAGTGAAACAGCTGGAATGTTGTAGGTCATCACGGCCGGAGGGGACTCCGGGACGCAATGACGAGTTCAAAACTGTCGCCTTAACCACTCGGCCATCCTGTCATGACGTAAAGAGGCATGATGGCGTATGAGTATGTAGCCAGCTCATGCCTGGAACCGTTGTAAGGCTCTCCAAGAATCCACTCCTTCGACTCTCCGAAGCTCAAAACACCTCGACGGATCTTTTCTGCATTTCCAGGCGAAAACAAATAGTATCCATTATCCATATGTAGAAATAAAATCAACAAAGTCGTAGTTCAACAGATCTATAAATAAATATTCAAAAAAAAAGCTTTAATGAACAAGTGTGTTCTGTCTGGGATTATACATACATACATACAAATAGCAAACATCATCATTCCGTTTCCTTTTCTTTTCCCATTCCAACCAATAAGAACAAAAAAAGAAAGACAAAAAAGACAATTGGGTAAAAATAAAACAAATCAAGGCCGTACAGATATCTATATAAATAATCATCATAATATTTATGTAAAAGAAACAATGGATAAAAAAACAAATAATTAAAGATGGAAAGACAAATAAAGCAAAAATATGAATCTATTGTATGTCATAGTATAGAAATAAGACCGAGCAAAAAAAGGAACGTTTGGAGATGAAGAAGCAAAAGAAAAAAAATCCAGTGTAAAGACAGAAAAGGAACAAGAGTATAAAAATGATCGATCGATGTTGGGACGTATTACATAGATGTGAATATGAATCCACTTAATGATTGGGAAAGACAGGTGAAGAACCAATATTGAAAATGGCCATCTAAGTCGCTATATTTGTATAAAGTACTTTGATTGTGTTTTTTTCCCGCGGAATTGAAAAAAATAAAATGACAATAATGATAAGCTAATAAAGTGACAAGAACATCGCCAATGCTGCATCCGGATAAAAAGGGTGAAAACGAGATGATAAAAAGGTGAAGGCAAGGGATAGCCGGATGGTGTGTGCGGAGAGTCAGTCAATTCTCCCGAAGATAATTACCAAACAGTAAGTTGTTGGTCGGGTTTTCGTCCCGGATCTGTCCGACCGAGTCATACGAATAATGCTCGCTGGCCTGATGAGATTCATTTCCATGTTCGTCTGCCGAGTTGACATGATGCATGACCAACATCGAGAGTGGAACGTTCATATTCACGTTGACATCCTGGTATTGCAGAGAGTTCATTGCGTATTGCGCCGCATAAAGTGGTGGTGCCGTAGTCGAGGCGGTTCCCGCACAAAAGCCCATCCCAGAACCGGAGGCGGGCGAGAGGAATCCATGGATTGATGGGAGTTGTGGCTGGGTCAAGTGACCAATGTTGGAATATGAATCGAGAGGGTGCATGGATCCCGGATGAGTTAGAGGTGAACGAGGCTTTGTTGAGGAATGCGAAGATCGGTTCAAAGGATCAGAGCTAACGGAAAAATCATTATTATGGTCCTGACTTCCAACCTCGTCCGATCGTGGGAATTGTGAAAAGTTATGCTGGTTGTTTGAGTCAAACCGCAGTGGTGGATGGTGAACTTGGGCGTGGAGTTGAGGATCTGAGCCTGGTTCGTCTAAACAGCTTCCTCTGTCATCAGAATTGGATAGTGAACCATGGTGGGAGGAGGATTCTTTAGGGTAAGACGATGGGTTGGATGTCAACGATTGCGAAGAGATTGTCGGGTCTTCAAAAAGAACCATATCTTGCTCGTTGCCCAGGTCCAGTCGCGAGGAAGGCTCGGCGAAGTTTGGATATTTGTCGATGTTTCTAGCAAGTGTGGTCATCGTACGAGGGGCAAGGCTATACGCAAAGGAAGGTATAGATCCTGTAGCGCCAAAGACGTGGTTAGAATAGGTGATTGCTTTAGGCGGATTCAATTTACGATTGCTGTAATTTCGGATCGCGCGTAACTGAGAGCAAGCACGAAGGTAGTTTTCCGGTAAGCTCTCGGGCGTTTTGATAGCTAGCTCAAAAGTTTCGATCCCCAAGGTGATACATTTTCGTGATAGTCCAGACATCGGATGGGTTGGTGTACGGAGAAGCGATATCCAAGCGCAGGTCATTGCAGCATGAAACGTTAGGTACCAACCGTACCACATCCTTCGAGTTGCCGGGAAAAGCTCTACCAGTAACCGTTGGGCTTCAATGATCACTTGAGATGACCTGACGCACTGCTCCTCCGACATTTGGTGTCCAGTGGCCCCGGTAGAATTTTCCAGCGAGAGACTGAGGAACGGGCGATGTAGTAAGAGGAGGATCGTATTTTGTGAGATTGACAACAACAGCGCTTGTTTGGCCAGCATCGGCTCGCGCCGCCGGAGATCCTCGATGCCTACACCGGTGGACGAGGGTTTAAAAACTTTACTATGCGTCTGAAAGGAGCCACTTTGTTTGGCTGGATACTCCTCAATTGGGTCTGGCTCAAATCTCATCGCAACTGGCACACGGTGATACCAAGTCTATAGCAGAAACGACAGAAACATGCAAATAAACATTTGATGTGTAGAAAGACAGAGGCAATTTAAAAATGATGGAATACCTTGATAGTAGTATCCAACTTGACGACCTCTTCGTACTTTGGCCCATTTTGAGGTTCTGTTGATTTTCCCCAGCCCCAAACTGCTTGTCCAAATATTCTATCCATCATATCACGAGCGTATAGACACGTCTCCCTGTGATTGAGAGCAGCCAAGCGGATATTAGTTTGGGATGGAAACCTAAACAGATAGGTATATGAGATACGAGTTACCAGTTGAAGACATGGTACGTTAGCTCCGTCACGCCTTGTGGGGGTAAGATGGGAGTGGTGGCTAGCGCTTGTCCCATTAAACTTTCTTCCGTTCGATCCGAGGGGAGATCGGAATCACTCAGAGTGACGCCGGCTGGCCATCCAAATGCAATGCCTAGAAATACATCCCACGTCTGGACTGACCACCAAACCCGGCGACGCAATTCCTGCTCAAGGACAGGCATGTGCGGATTGAGACTTGATGGGTCTATGTGCAAGCCCAAACATTGGGCCTGTTTAATGACTCCACCAATAAAACACCACGCATCTATGGCAAGACCCAGTTCAATTAGACCGCCAAGTAGCTGAAGAATCTAGTGGTGAGGCGATTTTATGAGACAGGAAAACTTACCAGTGCAACGATCATTGTTGACCATATAAAGTACGAGCAATAATTGGGCTTGAATACACTCAATCGACGGATGTCCTAAATAAGACGCTAGTTTGAGAGAGTGGACCGTGCAAGAGGCTGCTCGAAAAAAAAAAAAACTGGCTGAGAAAGATGTGGTTGAGAGGTAATCAGAAGCAGAGGCGGGAGCAACTTACCTAACTTGTTAGAAAATGAAAAACGCCATGCTTTCAACCTTTTCTGATAGTCTTCTTTAGCCTCTCCGACCATCATCGGAGGGGCATCTAGGATGTGACTTGCAAGGTCAGATGTAGCGGTGAGTATGCTAAGGATGACACTCAATTGGCTGAAAGGTAGTCGCTCCTGTTCCGACCTGGATGATGAGAAAAATCCTTGATACAAATCGATGATTGTTGGAGTATGCCATGCGCTACAATACACTTGGAATTAGCTGATTGAGTTCTGCCAGTTCTAGACATCAAGTCAAACATACTGATAAAAACAATCCACGTCCTGCAGAAATGCTTCCAGAAGCCTGTTGGAAAAAAAATTGTGATCAGGATCGGCCGTCTACTCCACTCTCTCCTCTCCCCCCGAAGAGCAAGTGAAATGAAGACGCACTGCTGAGCACACGCTGGGGAAGGCAAAGCATCCAATAACACATTTCTCATATCTGAACTACTGGTGACCGATCCGGGTGTTTCAAAAGCCCACCGCTTTCCAATTTTACCACCAAAAAGACCCATGTAGGCAACCTTTGCAGTGATCATTTCGTTTCGTGGGGGGCTGGTGTCAGAGTCCAAGGTGTGCGGTTTGAGTTCTGGAGAAGTCAAACCTTGCAACTAAAAAAAAAAAAATGTCAAGCACACCAAGATGATGTCCATCACGCTAGGTTCAGTACAGCACAAGAAAGCTTATGAGGTTGCCCCATAGATCTGAAGCAAGGGCAAAAGAAAAAAAAAGACTGACCTTTCGGAGTAATGATCCACCTGCTACGTGTCCTAAAAACATTTTCCGACCATCTTCATCATCCTCGATCACGTTCTGATCTTCTCCATAGCATTTCATTCCAGGTGGACAACTTGATTGGCGGAGATATGGTGTATTTTCGAGACGTTGAGTTTCTCTCAGATCTTCGACCCGAGAACCAAGATCGGCTTTGAAGCTCGAACTTCTCGTTGGGCGAGAATGGTTATAGTTTAAGCCACTAAAAGAAGGTGAGACGGGCTCAGAGCTATCACTCTCCCCATTCCGAGAGGATTGAAAGATATCTAACATTGGATGATTACCATCCTCTTGCATGCTCCAGGCACCAAGAGATTGAGAATGTGAGCGAGCAAAGTTTGGACTTGATGGGCCTAGGGTTGGGCTCGTCAGACTGGATTGAGCTCCGATCGAACCATTCGGATGACGTTGTTGTTTGGGATGCGGCCTTCCCTTGAGGATCCGAACGACCCCTTCGAGTTCAGCAATACGATCCCGCAGACGGGCAATCTCGCATGCGGGGTCTTTGAGGTCAATCTTTCTGGGGGAGATCGAGAGGGGTGTGGATTGGGTGATAAACAAGGTATTGTTATTATTTTGTACATTTTGTCAAATAATCGAACAGATTGATAATGGAATGAGTGCTGGGATGTATGATAGTAAGGAGATAGAGGAGAACTGCGTTTTGCATAAATAGTAATAATAACAAGAATAGTAATGATAATGATAATCAATGATAAACCTACTTGATCACACTTGGATCCTCTGTCTCGTAAACGCAATTTCCGGTGATCCCAAGCGAGGTGCATCGCTCGCACGGACGTCCTCGGTTACACCTATTCCCGAAAGCAAGCAGGGAGCAGGTCAATGAAAAGGATAGGACTATGAAAGATATAT